ATTACAATATCCTTGTAAGTTTTCCTAAAATCAACAAGTTGTGCATCAAGATATAATACATATACACAATATATTAGTCAACTACCATGCACAAACAAGTCAAGTAAAATACACAATATTCATCCTATGTCTTCAAGCTACAATGGCATACGATATGTCAAATATATAATGTGTATACAAGCAAGTTAAACCATAACTTCTACTCATGGAATACTATAATGTCATCATACAACAAGTTCCAAATTTACAAGTTAAGCATGAAAATAACTGCAATACCTAACTACCTCAATGGAAACATATAATGGAATTTAATCAAATTAAATAATTAAATTCTCAAGATTACAAAGTAACTCCAAATATTCTAAAATTAATATAAATCAAAGGTCATGGCAAGGCCTAGTTTAATAACACTTTACAAGTTATTTCTACCTAACTCACAACTAGGTAAATTAAACTTCATACAAAAAAATAATTAAATAAAGTTCTCCCCACTCATTCAAATATTCTCATTTTCATATATGTTAATGAACATATTAAGGCCTAATTTAATATCACATTGTAAGTTCATTTCAAGCTAGGTACAACCATGTAAATTAAGTTCCATACAAAGAAAATAATTAAATATAAGTTTCGAAACTTATCCGATTATTCTCAATTCGATACACGTGAAGGAACTTGTCAAGGAAATCATGAATACCAAGTTCGAAACTTAATTAAGTTCATGGAACCATTGAATATGTTTTAATTAATTTTTTTAATTAAAATCTCTATATTTTAAAACTCACCCAAATGCTCTCAAATTAAAGCATGTTACAAAACATGCCAAGACTTGATTTAATAGTATAATACAAGTAATTTCCATGCAAGTTACAACCATGATGATTAAACCTTCATACAAAAAAAATAATAAATGAAAGATTTCAAAATCGAATCAAATATTCTCGATTTAATATGTGTGAAAGTATATGGCATGCACATCAATAATATCAAGTCAGAAATCCAATGGAGTGAATAGTGCACTTGGAATAAATTAATTAATCAATTTAATTAATTATTTCTAGATTTTAAAACACCTTCGATTACTCTCAAATTCATATATGTTGAAGAGTATGCTAGGGCCTAATATAATATGATATCACATATTGATTTCAAGCTAGAGAAGGCCACATGAATTAAATTTTCATTCAAAAAAAATATTAAATAAAAATTTCAATACTTGTCTAAATGCTCTCAATTTAATATATGTCAATGATCATATCAAGGTGTAATTTAATATCATACCACGTGTTTAAACCAAACTATAACCAACCGGGAGAATCAAATCTCATACAAGAAAAATAAATAATAAAGTTTCTAGATTTAGTATAAAGGCATGTGATTAAGTTGTGTAAGCATGGAATACACTTAATATAACCAAGATATAAACCTAAGACATCCCCTACCTCAATTTGAGAAAATTTCAAATTCCCCATCAAAAGAAAAATGCTCCGAATCCGACGATACTGCGGGGTTATGTCGGGGACAACGAGAGGAACAACTTTAACCTTTGAGGTACCATGAAAATCCAAACTCGAACTCGAAACCCGAACTCAAAAATGGTTGAAAATGGATTCTAATAAGGGGAAAAGGTAGAGCACGACGAGACTTACGATAAACGTTAAGGTGGAAGACAAAATACAAAGGAAATCAAGTGGAGAGGAAGAAAGAGTGGTGGCAGCCCCTTGGGCTCCCATGGCTGCTGGCCAAAGAGAGAAAAAAGATGATGAAAAAGTGATTTTTCACTTTAAAACATTCTATTTATAGTAAAACCTTAAAAGTGTCTCGAAAAGGCCCCGCAGGGTCCGGAAAAGTGAAATTTGAGCAGACGCGCTCAAACGGCAAAACTTCGTGAAAGAAAAAAGAACCAAAATGAGAAAATATGAATAACGGAAGAAACGACGTCGAAAACCGAGTCTCGAATAGAGAGATATACCGGACGACAATCGGGGTCAAAAATCCCTAAAACTGGGGAAAACGTTCGACAGGAAATTCTAAGAGTACACGACTCGACGAAATGTGCAAATGAATCCCGTACGACGATCCAGGTTCAAAACGAGGTATTTTGCAAAAACTTTCGTTAATTACACATTGGCCCCTACAAAAAGCGTTAACTGCAAAACTCGCCCAGAATGAAAAGATATTTTCTTAAAAACCTTTGAAATAAAATATCTTTAAAATATATTTATGAAAAAATACCCCAAGAAAAGAAAATATTTCTGAAGAACTATGCATCCATGCCCCTATGGACACCGGGAGCAACAAGAGTACTTTTCTACAAAAGTAAAGATACATATTTCGTGGAAACCACTTAGGATGAAGGAAAGTAAAGTCAGAAATCAATTCCGAGCACGAAAAGTGAGGTTGTGCCAAAAAGTGACAAATAGGGAAAAAGACGAAAAGCAAATTGACCGATCCTTAAAGGAAGTTGTCAATCCAAACGAAAAAGTCTCGGAAACCATTTCCAAGAACTCGAGACGACACCCAATGGCGAGAAACAGAACTCGGAAAAGAAAATTAAATGGAAAAAAATTATCCGTAAAATTTGAGAAAAATGAAAGGAGGGAAAATGACTGGGTAATTACAGTATTAAAGTTGGTAAGAGCACTGCCATTAAATGCTTAAAGGCATTTTGTAATGCTATTGTTGTTGTGTATGCAGAGGAGTATATGTGCCCACCCCACAAAGCCGATATAACACAGCTGCTTGAAGAAGGGGAACATAAAAGATTTCCAGGTATGCTTGGTTCTATCAACTATATGCACCGGGAGTGGAAGAATTGCCCAGTGGCGTGGCACGATACACATAGGGGACGCTCTGGTAAGAATACTCTCATATTGGAAGTAGTTGCCTCACAAGATTTGTGGATCTGGCATTCATTCTTTAGAATGTCGGGTTTACACAATGATATAAATGTGTTGGATCATTTCCCGGTATTCAACAGTATCATCAAAGGCCAATTACCTCTGGTTAATTATGTGGTGAATGGATATCACTATAGAATGGGATATTACCTGTCTAATGGTATATACCCTAAATGGGCAACTTTGATGCAGACCATCCCGCACCCAACCCCTAGAAAAGAAAAATTGTTTGCTCAGCGATAAGAGGCATGCAGGAAAGATGTGAAATGGGCTTTTGGGGTATTGCAGAGCAAGTGGACAATAACGCAATGACCAGTGCATTACTGGGAGAAAGATGACTTGCGCCTCATAATGAAAACCTGTATTATCCTTTATAATATGATCATTGAAGATGAGCGTCACGCAAATGTTGGAAGATGGACTCCGCGCACTGGAGGATGTAATCTCAATTCCCATTTTAAGTCGATGCCCATCAGTTTTAGTGGCACACATATTTTCTTACCAACTTCAGATTTGCAACAGAGAGACAAATACGCGGTTGAGGAATGATTTGACAGAAAATTTGTAGAACCGCTATGGTGATGAAGATGTTTAATTTATATTACATTTTGTTTGTTTTTAAGATATTATGAGATTTCGTGTATTAAAATTTTTATTATGTAATGGTTTTTTAAGATTAGAAATAATGAATTGGAATAAGAAAATAATGATTACAAAATCTTATGGGAATAAGTAGATGAATTTTTAATTTTAATTATTTTTTTTAAAAGATTGAATTTTTTATACTTTTTAAAAAAATAATTATAGTCGTTAAGGCACTATTTGTGTTAGCTAAACAGTGCCTTAACGGCCAAATGCATTGTTTGTGGCAAAATTTAAAATTTAAAGTAAATTTTTAAAAAAAAAAATTTAAGAAAAAAAAGAATGTTTTTTTATTTATTTTTGGCCCAAATAAAATTTATTTATAGGACAAACAATGCCTAAAAAATATATTTTTATTTAAAGAATTTTATTTTATTTTATTTTATTTTTTTAAAATGAGCTCAAAATAACATATTTTTGGGTTTTTCCAAAAAAAAACAACCTGCCAAACAGTGCCTTAAAAAAAAAAAAAAAAAATACAAGCGCTCAGCAAAAACGGCGCCGTTTTGCAAAAGAGAAAAAAAAAAAAAAAAAATCACGAGCCGGCCCGGGAGGCAAACTAGGTCCTGCATTTTTAAGCTAGCCCGCTGCACGGCCAAATGGCCACTCTCTCGCCAAAATTGGGCTTTAGCTAGCCTGCTGCACATGGCCTAACTGCGTGCCTACTGAAGAATGAATCAGCAACTCATCAATAGTAAATTAGATAAGGGAACTCACTCGAGTGTGATTAGGGGTGAAATGCTATTCGAATCCAAAACTAGTTCTTCCCGAAATGCGTTGAAATAGAACTTTAGGGTAAAACACTATTTCGGTGCAGTTGCTGGTCACAAGAGTGCTATCAAAATCGAGGCAAACTTTCAATTATAAATGACATCAAAATATAATAACAAAAGAATGAAGGGACACAATAATTAACAAAACATTAAAAATGAACAAATTTGAACCATATAATAGCATTTTGAACTGTTTCAATTTCGAATTTTGGATTTGAACGAACCATAGACTAATTTAACTAAGTTCACTCTAAATGAAGTTCTATTCAACCCAAATTTTATGGCTTGAGTGAAGCATTTTCTTTAATTTTTGGCACTAACCTAACAATCATGTAAGTTATAACATTACTTATGATCTTGTTTGAATGTGGTGGAAATGCAAATAAATGTGTATGTGTGTGTGTGTGTATATATATATATATAATCACTCTGAAATTTTTTTTTTTCAACAGTTAAACCGTAAACATAATTTATAATAAATTACTCTTAACATAAATCAAAATAGAACCAAACATTACAAATTGAGTAGGATTTGAATCTTAAACAAAACATAAGCACCCCTAATCCTTTTTTTGTTTTTTGGTAATTAAACTTGAATCGGAAAAATTCAAATTAAAGGTGGAGCTGAATTACATACAATTTAGGAGAAAAATAAAAATTAAAGTTTTGAGTATTAGGGACGTGGGCTTTAACCCATTGACCCGTCTCTACCCACACTTCGTCGTCCATTCGACACCGAATCGCGGACGACTCAGACGCCTTCGAAAAATGAAGCAATCGAACAGGCGAGTCCAAATCGGCGACGCAAAACCTGTTCGTTACGACGACGACGACAATGGAGAAGAAGGCAGTTTAAAATTACGACCCTCGGATAGCAACGTCACGGAAGATCAAGAGCCGTTCATGGGGGTCAAGGTCCGTAGAAAAGCCTCGATTCACAGGGATTACAGGGGTGACTATCTCGACGTCCCTTCACGACCCTACCTTATGAAGATTCTCGAGAAACAAGGTAATCGATTTATACCCAATTGGGTTTTCCACATCCCTTGAATTGATTGAAGATTTCGATGATTTATTATTGATTTCTTTCGTTTTTTAGTGAATTATGGTGTGATTTATATACTATGTTGTTTGATGAATCGAGTTGACATATTTGGGGTTCCAATGTTTCTTATGAATGTGTTAACTCTGGAATTGGGTTCTTAGCGAATTTTGGTGTGAATTATATACTATGTTGTTAGAGTTGAGAGATTTGGGGTTTCAATGTTTCTTATGTTAATTCTGGAACTGATGGTTAGTTTGATTTGATTTGGTAGCTGGATCCCGTGGTATTGATTCATTACATTGTTGATAATTCTATGTTCTGGCATTAATAAATTATTTTGGAAATCTCACAATTCTGTTGTTTGGTGAATTGTGGCTGGAGTGTTTCTGTGAATGTGTTAGCAGCTTAGCACTGCGTAATGTTCACTTTTGATTTGATTTAGATTGGTTTGGGTTAATTTGACTGGTATTGCTGATGTTATATACATTAATTACTTCATTTCTGATGATTATAGGTTTTGGTTTTGCTCCCCATTTTACCTTCAACACCGAACTCAATATTTATATTCCTTGCTTAATTTTTTAGATTGAGTTGCAGAAGAAAAGACACTTGCTGTTTAAACATAAACAGTACAAAATTCATTTGGTAGACAATTTTATAAGATTTTCCGAAAACAGAGTTTTAAAAAAAAGTGCTTCTTTTTGAAGAACAAAATTGTTTTCAGTTTTCAGAGATCTTGAGATTGTTTTAACTTTTAAGAGAACTGAATCAAACAAGCACAAAACCTCTTTGGTTTTTCCTAAGCCTAGTTCTACTTTTGAGTTTAGTTGAGTCTTTTTTTTTATTTTTTTGAAAACAAGACCATGGAGAAAACTAAAGTCTTGCTTTGTGCAGTTAGTTCTCTCTGACTATTCTCAGAGAACAAAAAAACAAAATAGTTCAAAATTTATTTGGTTGAAGTATAAAATCTGATTTTGAGGGAAAAAAGAAAAATTGAAAACTGGTTTCCGAGGAGTGTCTTCTAAAATTATATAAAAAACATGTTTGTTTAAAACTTTATGAAAACTGTTTTAGAGAATTGACCAAGCAGAACTAGGGATGTCAACGGGGCAGGTTCAGGACGGGGCACTCCTTTCCCAGACCCGTCCCACCAATGAAAGTTTTTTTCCCAAACCCTGTTCGAGGCGCCCCAATATATATATTTTTAAAGAAAAACATTCAAAGTTGAATAATTTTAAGATGATCCGAAACTCGTCCAATAGGGACGGGACGGGTTAATTTGACATCTCTAAGCAGACCCTAAAGATTTAAGATACTTTTTGTTCACTTCTTGAAGCTTATTGGCAAGCAAATATGGAACTGATGAATTATGGCCTGAAGTTTATTTGATGAATGAAGTTGGGAAATTTGAGATTGCAATGCTGCTATGTATGATCCAAAATTTATTGGAAGCCTTTCAATCATTTATGATGTATCAAATTTTTTTCCCAGTGAGTTGTAGGTCAATTTGAGTGGGCTGCTTGGATGACAAATAGACATTGACCAATCCTGTTGTGTATTACTTGGTATTTCAAATAAGTTCATTATTTTTATAGTTTAATTGAAGTATCTTTATTATTTTTGTTAAACTAGATTGTTGTTGTTCTAATATTTAAAATATCGCCTCACTTATATGTAATTATTATTGTATTGATAATTATGGTAGTAACTCCATTTTACGCCATCAACTTGTGCAAATGCAATTTGATGTTTTAATTCCACAGGACATCATGAGGCAGATAGAAACTTTCTTTATGATCTTCATCTTCATTTAATGAAATCATTACCATATTTACTCTAATTTCTCTTTGTATTTTCATCATTTTCAGTGATATCTCAAAGAGTGGATATTAGTTACATGGATGCTCCATGTCATTAGGATGAATATGTTAGGACTTAGGACCTTCATGCTTCGCACCTCATTCTCTCTGCTTCTTGACACTCACTTTTTCATCCCTGTGATAAATTCTCTTCCTTGCTGACTTGTTATGGCATCAAAATTCAGCACCTAAAGTTTATCTGCCCTCATTGTGGGAAATATTGCCTTCAAGAAATGGATCATACATTGGATAAATTCAAATCCTGAGTATCTAATACCATCAATTAATCAACTACCTTAAATTTTATCCAAAATGGTCATAGTTGAAATGGATCATACAACTATACATTATCTGTTTAGTACTTAGTTTCTGTCACAGGGACCCTGGTACGTGTGTCAAGTGCAGGTCTCTACTTCAGAGATCCACCGGCGGGGAAAAGGTCCCATCGGACCAACTGGTCTCGGTTTCAGAGGCCTGCGCTGGTTGGAAAAAATGTCCCACTGGTGGGACTTCGTTGGGTGGCTTCGATTTTGTGTTTTTTTTTTATTATAAGATTTTGACTCCTTTTTCAATTAAACTTCTTGAGGCATCCAATAGGGTTTTAAAACACTTTTCCTACTTTTATTTGGACTCTTGTCTATTTAAATTCTTCTAATCTCCAATTATTTAGAGATAAGAGAGACACAATCATTTTTCTTCGTTTGGGCTTTTGAGAGAGTTTTTGACAGAAAAATCATCCGTGATTTTTTTGATAGTTTTTCTTTATTGGGGAGTAAACACTTAATACACGAGGAAAACAACTATACATTTTCTGTTAAGTACTTAGTTTCTATCACATGGACCCAGGTATGTGTGTCAGGTGCAGGCACATGTCTACGCATCGGATTTATCAAATCTTCAAACAAAAAGACACAGGAACAACTGAACATTCATAAGTTTTTGTCATTTTATATGTATACTTAAACAAAATTTTGAATTATTGGATATGCTTGGTACTTGTTAGGTGCATGTTGAGTGTCCGACACAGTACTACACACTTTTTAAGAATCTTATAACGTAGCTTAACTTTGAGAAGCATGGTTCTAGGACTATTGAAAGAGGTGATTTGTATAAATTGTTAGATGGGGATGGTCAGCCCCCATCCAAAGTTGCAACGTCCCCCACACTCGGTGGCTGACTTGGGCACTGGGATTGGGTCTAGGTCTAATTCTGATACCATTATAACGTAGTGCTACATACCTGCTTGTATATATACAATCCTTTTCCATCTAGATCTGATGTGCAACAGGTTGCGTGCTTCCCGACCGCACAAAAATCTTTGTTGTTTTCTTTGGAAGACCAAACAAATTGACTTTCACAAGCCTGAAGAACCAAAACTCACCCACCAGATGATATACAATTACTAGGAAATCCTGGTGATCAATGAAATTTTTGCCGGTCACCATTTTTTTCCTGACTACTTGTTAGTTAATAGGTATGGAAGCGGTTGGTAATGGTTGGCCCAAGTAGTCAAAACCACATACCTAACAAGCAATCTGACTCTGACTAAAGCTAAATCAGCTGAGTAACATAAATTAGCCATCATATCAAAGAATAACAAGATAAAAGTTTTCAAGTAATTCAAACAATGTGCCTAACCCTTTACGCAACAAATTGCCAAAGAATTAAATCTGGACATCTACTTTCTAGTAAACACAAGAAGTTATGAAACTGATGGGGAACCTATTTCAGGTACTGGAGTAGTCAAGGTTGGCGTTGTAACTCCTGATTTAGGCTCGGAGGATGGACTGTTTCCGGCATTGACCCGTTGAATATCCTCCACCATCTTTACAACATCTAACATCTTAGGTCTCCTCTCGGGCATTCTTGCCGCGCAGGACAACCCTACCTGCAACAACTCAACCATCTCATCCTCTATATTCACATACCTCAAAAGCTCTACGTCGAACACTTCAGCTGTCCATCAGCTATGAAATCTTGGTGTCATCTCTTGCTCCACTTTACTTTTCTTGCATTATATTTGTTGCTTTGTGTAATTGATTTAGGTTTAATTTGGTGAAACTAAAATTATCTAAAAATTAATTAAAAGAGCAAGCTGTGCCTATTCACCCCTTCCAGGTCTTCCGTCTGAGATCAACTTTCCCCGACCACTTCTGCTCCATGCAACTCACAAATCCATTGGATAAATTTAGATCTGGAGTATCTAATGCCATCAACTGATCAACTACCTCAAAGTTTATCCAAAATGGTAATAGTGATGAATGGGATGTAAAAAGCTCGAGGAAAACAACTATACATTTTCTGTTAAGTACTTAGTTTTTGTCGGATGGACCCAGGTGTGTGTGTCAGGTGCAGGCATGCGTCAAGCATCGGATTTATTAAATCCTCAAACAAAAAGACACAGGAACACAACTGAACCTTCATAATATTTAATGTTTTCTTTTCTTTTTTTAAGAATAAAATAATGTTTTTACTGGTTTTGAAACTAAAGATAATAAAAGAGTTTTATATGTACACCTTTTTGGATAACTAGGTTTTATATGTATGCTTAACAAAATTTTGAATTATTGGATATGCTTGTTACTTGTTAGGTGCATGTCCACGTGTTCGACACAGGTACTACACATTTTTTTAAGAATCTTATAACATAGCTTAACTTTGAGAAGCATGGCGAGTATCTGATGTATAATTTATGGTAACCTGCAAGTAATCTTTACCACTTCAACCGCTGCCAAACCCTGATAATTACTGCACTGCTATAACTCCATAGTGTCTGCTGGAGAGTTTTGTTTGTTTGTCGGTTTATAGCTTTTTTATTTTTCTTAAATCTGTACTTAATTCCATTTTACAGGTGACAGGCAAGTTCTATTCGCAGATAAAGTTTTGAAGTTTACTGGTTCAGGGAAGATGAAACAACGTATTTTGCTAATTACTGACTTTGCCATGTACATTGTTGATCCGGAGACTGATGCACTTAAAAGGCGGATAGCCCTGGCAGCTGTTGATAAAATTTGTCTGAGTGAACTAAGTGATAATTTCTTTGCAATTATCATCCCAACCGAGTATGATATACTCATGGCTAGTACTCGAAAGACTGAAATTGTAACTGTTATAGGGGATGCAATCAAGAGCGATTCTGATTACGAACTAGAGGTGGCCTTCTCCAACAGGTAATTGGAAAATCTGTTCCCTGCATTAATACTGAATATCTTTTCTTTTTTCTTTTTCTTTTTTCTTACATGATACCCATCATATATGCTATATCACCATCTGTTGTATAATTATTAAAAGCTCAAGGCACACTAAAGCGCCAAGGTTTTGGAGTCTAAGTACAAGCACAAGTCTGAGAGAGTAAATCTCTTAATAGATATAGTTAAAATAGAAATTTTAAAAAATATGCAACAGAAACTAGTAAAGATCAAAATTAAGGAATGTTTCAGCGTCAGTTCAGCTGGTTAGATAAATTATTTACATGCATCTTTTAGTTTGCACAATCATATAGTTAATTCAATGATTCAGCATTATTGGTTCAGTTGAAGTGTGTATATATATATATATATTGGCATAAGCACTTAGAATTTATCATCAGTGCGAAAATGTTTTTATGCTCCACTTACATACGTTCATCATTTACTACTGTCTAATGCCACCCACCAACCCCTCCCGAAAGAATAAAAAAACACCTTTTTAAAGCTGTTCTAACTGCATGTGGTCTCGTACTTGACACTTCTGCAGGTTTGAGTATCGTGCGGCTGCTGAGCTGGTGAAGGAAATTATGTTCGAGGAAGTTGAAGGTCTGTAATATATTTCGCTCTGAGACGATTTGGTCCTTGTGAAATTATCAGTCCAAGTTTTACACTTTAGTTGTGGTAATAGTGATATTATATGCTCCTGAAGTTTTCAATTTGTTTGAATTGCAGGTGGTGTGAGAACAAAAATTGTGAGGAAGTGAGTTGCAGTTTGTCATTCGTATGGATTGGGGTTGGTGGTGTTTATATAAAGTTGACTGATTATCATTGCAAGCCGGTTTGTGCTCAGGTTTAAGTCCAACCGTTACAGATATTATCGCTCATTGTGTCATATTGATTTGTTCTGTGTAATTGTTTCGGCTACAAAATCAATTCCATGTAGATGTGTTTTTTGAGTTCATTCAATTCTATATAAATTGTTTGCCATTGAAAATTTTGTTCATGACATTGCTATAAATTGTTTATTTCTTCGTTTTTTCAAAAGAAAAAAAAAAATAGGAGGAAGCTGTGACATGTTCACTGAAAAAAAAACCCTTTTGTAGCAAAATTATGGGCGAATGACGGGAATTGAACCCGCGCATGGTGGATTCACAATCCACCGCCTTGATCCACTAAGAGGGAAGAATAACCTTAGGACAATGTTCGATTGCATGGAATTGAAGCCTTAAAATTGAAATTGGTGGAATTGGAGAAAAGCAATTCCACAAAATTAAACTAAATGTTTTTCTAATTCCAATTCCACAAAATTAAACTAATTTTTTTTTTTTTATCCCCAATTCCGTACAGTTTAACACAGCCTAAATATAATTAGGAAGCATTAACTTGATTTTTACATCCATGAATAATTGAATATCAACCAATCAATAAAGTGAGAAGGCATGGTATGCAGCTGTTAGTAGGAATGGTAAAGGAAATCAAAGGTTCTAGGGCTATTGAAAGAGGCGATTTGTATAAATTGCTAGATGGGGATGACCAGGCCCTATTTGAACTTGCAACGATCTCGTTATAGTTAAGCGAGGCTCTATTCGAACTCGCAACGATCTCGTTATAGTTGGACCACCTTATTTACTCGGTGGTAGACTTGGGTATCAGGACTAGCTCTAGCTCTAGCTCTGATAATTCCCAAAAACTTAAACAAATTGACTTGGTAGTACTGCATACCAAAACAAATTGACTTTCACAAGCCTGAAGAGCCAAAACTCACCCACCGGATGATATACAATTACTTGGTTGGCGCAAGTAGTCAAAACCACATGCCTAACAAGCAACCTGACTCTGACTGAAGCTAAATCAGGTGCGTGACATAAATTAGGCATCATATCAAAGAATAACAAGATAAAAGTTTTGAACTAATTCAAACAATGTGCCTAGCCCTTTAGACAACAAATTGCCAAATAATTAAATCTGAACATCTACTTTCTAATAACACAAGAAGTTATGAAACAGATGGGGAACCTATTTCCGGTACCGGAGTAGTCAAGGTTGGCGTGGTAACTCCTGATTTATACTCGGGGGATGGCCGTCGAATATCCTCCACCATCTTTACAACATCTACCATCTTAGGTCTCTTCTCGGGCATTCTTGACGTGCAGGACAACCCTATCTGCAACAACTCAAGCATCTCATCCTCTATACCAGCGCACCTCAAAAGCTCCACGTCGAACACTTCAGCTGTCCATTCCTCCTGGAGAACAGAATTAACCCATTTGACCAAGGGGAGAAACTCACCATCACCTATGGGATGTATTGAGGACTTTCCAGTGAGAAGCTCAAGCAGCAAGACTCCGAAACTGAAGACATCAGATGCCTGCGTTACTTTGTGGGTGTCTGTTACTTCTGGTGCCCGGTACCCTGTGGACTCCATCACCGGTGGAGCCATTGGGCTCATCAGTGATGCTAAACCAAGATCAGACACGCAGCCAAATTGTTGGGGGTTGAGGAAGATGTTCGAGGCTTTTATGTTTCCATGGACAAGCTTCCACCCATTGTGTGTGTGGATATGAGCAATGCCTCTTGCTGCACCAATCGCAATGCCAAGTCGGGTTTCCCAGTCCAATGGAGTCCTACACCCACCTCTTTTCGCTGCAAAATTAGGGTTGCATCAGAATATAGTTACATATGAATCTACACAAGACCTGTAAAATATGAATATAGTTGCATTTGATTAAAGCATATTGCAATGGAATACCTTAAATTACATCTAAATTATGAATAGTGTTACCAACCCATGATATCAAATTTGAAATTCCAGATTAGTAAAAGCACCAAATTCAATGATTTGAGATTGAAAATGGTGGAACTCACAGTGTAGCATTGCAGACACACTCCCCTGATCATAGTAGTCATACACGACGAGCTTTTCATCCTTCGAATAGTAATAAGCCGTCAATGCAGCCACATTCTCATGCCTAATGCTTCCGACCACCTCCATCTGCTGCTCGAACTCCCTTCTTGCCAAACTCACTTCCTTCAACCTCTTCACCACCACCGTGGTAGCATCCTCCAATGAAGCCTTATACGTAGTCCCAAACGTTCCCTTCCCGAGCACCTCAGCAGAAGCCCTCAGCAAGTCCTCGAGGTCAAATGCAAGATGACCACCGTTAAAAAACTCAAGCCTCGCGTTCCCACCTTGGCTCCCGGAAGCCACCTTCATTTCAGATCCTTCCGACTTATGGGACAATGCAGAGAACCCCTTTTTGCCTCCTTTCTTCGAGCAGCAGCAGCACACAATCAGCACAACAACGAACACCAAAACCCCCAAAGCAGAACAGCCAATTATGATCCCCACCATTGCAGATTCACAAAGTCTCTTCGGTTTCTTTGATGGCTGACTATTTGAAGGAAGAACTGAAGAGGGCAACTTCTCAACATTGTTACCAACAAAAGCCCAACTTGGAAATCTGTCTAGAGACTGAGGCACACTGCCATTAAGACGGTTGTTGGATAGATTTAGATTCTGCAGACTAGGGACGTCGAGTTCAGGAATAACGCCAGAAAACGAGTTCTCAGCAAGATTCAGAGAAGTGAGGTGAGTCAAATTTGAAATGGAAGAAGGGATGCTTCCATTGAAGGAATTATTGGATAAATCGATGACAGAGACATTCTGCCAAACAGAGAAATCCGAAGGCAATGGACCGGAAAAGTGATTGGACTCGAGATAAATGGCAGCTAATTTTCCTAGCTTGGAGAGATCAGCAGGGAAAGGACCAGACAAGTCATTGGAGCCGAGACTGAGGACATGAAGAGCCGATAGGCGGCTGAGAGTGTTTGATGGAACGCGGCCATAGAAGCCAACTCCCGGTAACCGGACAGATATGATTCTTGATTTGTTATGGTTACAGTTCACTCCAGTCCATCTATAGCAGCAAGAAGTGCTCTCATTCCAATTGAGAGGCCGCGAATGAGAAATGTTTCCGAGGAAATCAAGCAAGGCCTGCTTATCTTCAATGGGTTCCGAGGCTGCTAGCAAGAAAAGAGTTCCAAACAAGAGAATTCCCGAGAAAATGAATTTGAAGCTCATTTTTCTCAATGATCAAACAGAGCTCAAACACAAACACAATGAGTCCCTTAATAGGACTATATGTGTGTATCTTCAAGTTCTTCGTCCTCTACATAAATTTGGACCAAGAAGAATCAAAATTAGAAAAATAAGAAATTAATTATACAATTTTTTTTATCAGGATGATTCTCATGAAGATAATGCTAGAGCCGTCAGCAGAGAATTATTATTATTATATGTATATGAACAATGACTTATGAGGCTTTAATCAAGTGTTTTGGTCAAAGAAACAAAGTTTTAGTTCGGTATTCGAAGAATACAATTGGGAGCTGTCTTCTGTCTTTTTACTGACTTCTGCTCCCCCAGTTGTTTCCTTCCTCTGTTTGGTTGGTGAGAAAACGAAGTCTACAAAAAGAAAATTCGTACTACTTTTATATTCTTGTATTTATATAAAAAGGAATATATGCTCAAAAACAAACAAAGAAAAAAAAAACAGAAAAGAAAAGGGGAAAGGCACACTTGGGTTGTCTCGTGTGGAGTTGTATATTTTCTTCTCAAGTCCTAATGATTAACCAAAAAAGGCCTACTCAATATGAAACAACTTAGAACAATATCAATCGACATTAGTTTAGATGATACGATCTCTCTTCATAGAAAGGAGATTGAGAGTCCTCAACAATATTGTGGTGCGTGCACGTTTGGTTTGACTTTCGAAAATAAAAAGAAAAGGAAAAAAAAAAAAAAAAAATTGGCATCGAACATACCTTTGTTCTCCAAAACAAGCATCAATCAGTCACTATCTCACAATGAATAGCAATTAAACAAGCATCAATCAGTCACTATCTCACAATGAATAGCAATTAAACCACAGCTCCTGAAGATTCAATAAACAGTAGCCACATTTAGAGGCGGAGTCAGAATTTTAGTCCACACAGTCTTTAAAAAAACTTAATATAAATAAGAACCAAAAAAATAAAAATAAAAATAAAAAATTACATACTATATGCATCATTGGCAAAAAAAAAAGGGCATCTTAAGAAGTAGGAGAAAAAAACGAAGAAGAAAATGGAAAGAAAAATGAGAACTTTTAAAGGAAAAAAAAAAAAATTAGAGTTTGAGAGAATAAGGAAAATTTAACTTTTTTTAAAAAAAAAAAAAAGAAATTAAAAGAATATTAAGAGCAAAAGAAAAAGGAAAGAAAAATTTAGAAGATAATTTTAGAAATTAAAAATTTTAAGATTATTATATATATATACATATTTATAAATATAAAAATAAAATAAAAAGTTACTATATTTTATTATTGGCGCGGAGATACCATTTTGGAGAACAGTTACTATATATATGTGTGTGTATATATATATAGTATTCCAGAGAGAGAGAGTACCTGTAGTAGCTGGTGGTAATGATAAAGACGAAGTGTTTTTTTGCTTGAAAAAGCAGAAATGATTGGATACAGTTAATGACAGAGACATCGGAGAAAAATATTTTTTATATATACGTATAACAAGGTTTGAAGAGAAGGGTTTGTATTGCATGTGCAGACAAAAGCGAAACCGCTACGAAGAATTAAGGGGCAAGTGGGTGAAGAGTTGGTCGTTGATTGTGGGACACCAGTCCCGCCATTTTCGCTATTTTTTAAGAACCTCAATGTAACCCTATAAACTTTCTCTCCATGGGAAAAAGAAAAAGAAAAAGAAAAATTGTAATCCTATAACACTTTTTAAAGTTTTTCTTTTGTTTCTCTGGTAGATTCTTTCTTTTATGCTTTCACATACAATTGTCAAAAGCAACATTGATTTGGGTTGTTACAATTTCATTTAACTAAAAGTGCATGAGCTTTTTTTTTTTTTTTTTTTTTTTAATATGTATTGTGTGACTTTTTTTCGAAGGATAATTGTGTTATTTTATTTTAAAAAACAAATTGTCTCTAGTATCAAAACTGCTGCTATAAAATTGCCTTATGTTTTCTGAGTTCTTGAGAATTGTTTTTAAAATTACAAACCAGTTCTAAGTTTCCGCAATATAAATGAGATATCATTGGATTAATATAAAGCAATAACCTTTCTTATTATATTTTGATTCAAAGGATGAAAAATTCAAAAAAAATAAAATAATATATAAATAAAAAACAACTTAATTACAAAGACACTCACCTAGTAGTATCGTGGAGTTTGAGAGTCGATGACTTTTATCTTTCTTTCGATGGGAAAGAAAAAAATTAGATGAAAGATAGAGAAGGAGGGATGGATGAGGTTTGATGGAAGAGAAAATAATAAACTCACAATTTATTATATTCATGCCTATAAAAAAAGGAAAGTTAAAGTTTTAATTATTTTTACCATTAGACCCATCAATATATATGATATTATAATTTATAAAGGATGGTATTGTAGTTTTAAAATATATATTTTAGGATAATACTGTAATTCAAAACTTTCATAATAGTACTACTTGTCTTCCCTTCTCTTTTTTGCAAATATTTAGAGGAATGAAAATTTCTATAAAAGAGAGAATATATTTTTTAAGAACTACTCAATCCGAGACACTTTGCATTGTTTCATTGTCAACTCTCTAGTATATCTATTTATTTTATTAAAATAGCATTTTTGTGAGTAAAGTTAGACCTAGTTACATAAGCAACAAATAATATTGGCAGAGAGTTTGACAAATTTGTTTTTTAATTCTTTTTTTTTAACAAACTAGTACGGGTACACACCAGTTCTCTGTTGGACTCATATACAGTATATCAAAGGGTTTTAGTCAATAATCTTGGTGCCGCCAAAGACGTGATCAAATTTTATGACTTCAATTAACCATGTTTTTATTTTGGGAGGTAATATTTGCACTCTATTTTTTTTAATTGTACTAAATTTATTATTATTTTTTTTAAAAATGATAAGAAAGTTTTTGAATTCATTAATGCACAATTTCTTAATTTATAATGTCATAACTACATTTTATACAACTTTAATTATTTTTTACTCTTGTTTATTTTCTTTATTATTTTTTCTTTGTTCTTTTTGTTTTGTTTGGAGGCCCTCTCAAAAAAAATAATTTATTCTATACTAATAATTTTATTTTTGGCAGCCAAAAGGGATAATTCATTCCATAGTAACTTTTTTTTTGGGTACAATCGAATTAGATATATATTCAACAAAATTGACTTTTTTTCAATTTTGTCAAAAAAGGAAACTTTATTTTTTGGTAATTTTTTATGGGTCATGTCAAAAGAAATAATTTACTCAATTTTTTTTTTTTTGGGGGGGATAATTTGTGATCTTGACAACAGAAATAATTTATTCAATAAATATATTTTTATGAGTTTTTTTTTTTTTTTTATCATGTCAAAAGAAATAATTTTTTAAATGGTTACTTTTTATTTTTTCTATCCGGCCAAAAGAGGCAACTTATTCAGCATAACAAAATTTTATTTCATTTTTGGTCCCTTAAAAAAAATTTATTCAAAATTTATTTTATTTTTTTTGCGTTGTCGAAAGACACTTAAAATATTAAACATTAGAGATAATGAGAGAAAATATGAAAGGGTAATTGTGTCATTTAAAAAGTAATACTTTAAAGATAAGGTTAGAATTGTCATTTTATTTAAGATTGTAGTAAAAATATTAAAAAGTAGAGTGCAAATATCCCTATCCTTTGTTTTTTATATTAGGAAGTAGAAGTAACTTTTATTTTATTTATTGTTTGGTGTTGTGATTTTACTCAACAGCATACATAAATTTGGTAATTAAATAATAATATATATTTTGGACAAAATGCTCTCACACGGGAGGGCGGAACCAGAATTTCAATTCAGCGGGCATTGTTATAAAAAGAAAAAAGAAAAAAAAGAAAGAGAGAGAGAAAAAAAAAAAAAAAGACAACCAACTAACATGACGAATATCTATTATTCAAATCTAAGGAAAAAAAAAATCACTGTAAAACAATATGCTAAATTAATAAGTAGTAACATCACTATAAGAAGTAAAATATTGTTTATCTATATTTTTACTGAAAAAATTATATACTACATATATCATAGATTAAAATGTAGACAGAAAATTTTTAAGACATAGGAAAAAAGAGAAGAAAAAGGAGAAATAACAGAGAACTTTGAATGGAAAAAAATTAGAATTTGATTGAAGAATAGCAATTTAACATTTTTTTAGAAAATCAAATTAATTTGAAGAGTAGAAAAGAAAGGGAAAGAAAAAAATACTAGATAATTTTAGAAATTAAAAATTTTAGGGGGCATTATATAATTATATATATATATATAACAAAACTAAAAATAGTAATTATATAGGGGGATGAGCCCTGGCACACACGGGCTCCGCCCTACTCACTTTGTCTTTATTGTTGACATATTAAACTTGTCAAAATATTCCTCTCACACCCCTTTCAGAATTAGCAACAATTTGTTTTTTAACTTAAAAAACAAAAAATACTTTTTATCATTTTGCCCTTTCTTAATTTAGCCCTTTTTTATATTGTTGACATATATATATATATACTAAAAATACAAAAAATGTCAATTTTGCCCTTGTATGATTAATTGACACCAATCTCACCAATCCAATACTCTCTCTCTCTCCCCGCTGTCCACTTCCACCATCCATCCATACCATAAAAAATAATAGTCTGTAATAATACTAATAAAAAACTTCGTGGATGATGTAATGCTCATGAAACCTCCTACTACTAAATAAAAAGAATAAAAGAGAAGTGTTTTTGTCACATTAGATTAATAAACAACTTTCCCTTCACAGTCCCACCTAAAATTTTTCATTCAATCAATCACAATACTTACTTTTAAATATATTAATTATTTATTTATGGACTCTAAAAATAGGCAAAAGTGAAAAAAGAAAAAAAAAAAAATTTGAAATTTTATCAAATGAGCGCGATACTTCATTGTAATATAAAAGTGAGCAAGTAAGTCTCTATAATTTCAAAAGTAAGCAACTTGTTCCCTTACATTTCACCTCCGACCATTTTTCACCCGATGTCATTGTGTATTTACCACACTACCCCCTATAACTAACTTTTTTTAATAAATAATAAAAAAAGTAAAATATCTTAAATGCCCTCTATAATAAACTGAGGTATTACATAGTCCTAAATTGACTTAAGTGTTGTAACTCCTCATGTGGGCTTCTGCCTGGTTTATGTGAACTCACTTCCTCATTTGCATTCATGGCTTGGTTCAGTAGAGAGCAAAAAGATAAAAAAAAATCATTCAAAGCACAAAACTAACTAGTAGCTTATTAAAGTTTCAAGCAAATGAAATCCTTGAAAGCTATTTTAAGGTGAGGAATGAGGAAGGCTTTGAGGCCAAATAGGGATTTACAATCCTACATTTCAAATTATATGTAAGAATGGCTTTGACTACGTACCTTTCATGATTGTATTATATCATCAATTATACTGTACTACATTACAGATCATTTGATATAGTCTAGTTCTTAAAACTCTTCTAGTAGCTAGAAAAGACAAAAGTGAAAGAAATGCACATGACCATATATATATGGTCCAGCAAAATTTATATATATTACAACTTACTATAACTAAATACATATATATAGAGGCATATTTACACTTTACTTTTCTTTTAAAGGGTATGACAAAAAGGTCCTTCAATTCATTAATTCAACATCTTTATTTTATAATATCATAACTATCCTTTATACAACTTTAACCTTTTTATTTTTTATTTTTTTTATCTCCTTTACTATTTTTTTTCTGTGTTATACTTTCTTTCTTCTTTTTTTTTTTTTATTTTATTTTTTTTCTAATTTCCTCTCAAGAGATAATTTATTCTATAATCATTTATTCAATTTTTTTTTTTTTTTTTTTTTTTTACAATCAAAATAGATAATTTATTCAGCAAAGTTAACTTTTTTGTTGGTAATTTTTTATGGGTCCTGGCAAAAGAAATAATTTATTCAATATAAATAACATTTTTTTTTTTGTGTGTGTTTGTTTCATCAAAAGAGATAATTTATTTAATAGAGATTTTTTAATGGTTATTATTATTATTTTTTGGTCCGGTTAAAAGAGACAATTTATTCAACATAATTATTTATTTATTTATTAAAGACTAAAAATAAGGAGCGAAAATATGAAAGGACAATTGTGTCATTTAAAAAATAATAATAATTTACTAAAAATAGGTGATTATTTAAATGAATTGACCTTGGAAGGAGATCATAGAGAGCATATGCAAATGGAAGGATAGAACAAAAGTAAGTTTGATTGGAACAAAGGAATGCAAAAGACATTTTCTAGGAAGAAAGGGTATAATGGTCGTATTGGAGGGTACTTTTAGGATTAATAAAAAAATATCAATCATGTGCATCGCAATATGGAAAGAAATTGGTTGGAGGTAAAATGCAAGGGAGGCAAATTATTCACTTTTGAAATTATAGGGGCTGATTTGCTCACTTTTATACCATAAGGGATATTGCACTCATCTGGTGAAACTTCAGGAGTTTTTTGTACTTTTACCCTAAAAATATAACTTTATGAGAGAAAATTACCCATTTTAAGCCTTTCTCCTCTCTTAATCTTTCCATATGGGTGTAAATATGATATATATAGTAAATATATAAACAAGCTATATATAAACAACTAACTTGTGTGAATATTTAGAGAAAAAAATAATAATAACTTGGGGGAATCGTGTAACCTACACGAAAGAAAGAAAGAAAGAAAAAAAAAAAACTTGTGTAAATGGATTCCCAAAAATAAAAGGAAAATAAAGAAATAAATAAATAAATAAATTGAAAAGAAAAGAAAAGGAAAGAATCCACTAGTTATACAAAGAAATATATAGATATAAACATTTTTTTTTTTTTAATCTCAGAACCCGTATTGTGTATTGTGTGAATGGATTCTTTTCTTTCTTTTATTTTCTTTTCTTTTCTTTACTTTCTTTTTTTTCGAATCAATTCACACGACATTAGTAACACACACACACACACACACACACATACTTATATAACCACCCATATGGATCGATGATGATAAGAGAGAGAAGAAAGTGACAGTTGGTAAAAAAAGAGAGAAGAAAGTGTACTCGTCTCAAAAGTGATGTTTTTAATGTGTTTAAAAAATAAATTTTCTGATTCGTTGTATGATAAATTCTAGGAGCGATTAAGCCACTGTCCCAATGGATGATTTCACCAATTGTTTTTGTTTTTACAAATTTGTTTTGATAAAAATGTAATAAATATTACCAAATGGATGATTTCACTAATTGTTTTTGTTTTTGTTTTTTTTTTTTTTTTTACAAATTTGGCAACAAAAACATGAAACAAAACGGTCATCAGGAATTAAGCAAATCTTAATGTTGTTCGGTGTGTAGAAATCAAAGTAAACATTTTTATAAAAATTAAATTCTCAAAAACTCTTGTGTTTTAGGTCAAAAAAATCATTACGACCACCGCCACGTCTATTGTCTTTTACCGCCGTCTCGTGACCATTGTTGTTGTCTTCAATCAGCATACTGCCGCCGCATCGACTGCCTTCCACTACCTTCCACGACCACCACCATTTTCACATCCACTGCCTTCCACGACCGTCTCCACCACTGCCGCCTTCCACCACTACTATACTATTCCACCATCATCACTTACACTTCCACCACTACCACCGCATGCGTTGCTTCCACCACTGCCACCGACTTCTACCAACACCACAATAGAATGAGAAAAATCATTCCATTTTATTTTCATTCTTATTCTATTTCCACTTATTTTTCATTTTATTCTTACACACCAAACACAACATAAATTATCATACCTTTTGTGATTATACGATTCTTCCATTTTTTTTCAATGGATTAATTTTGACAATGGAAGACCGGGATGGTCACTCCAAGAATATATCAATTAAATACAACATTAATCCATTGAAATAGATCTCATTATCATGAGACCGACTTCAAATCTACTCGCCAAACCTACAAAATATATCCATAACAAGTTCTCATTTAAATTATCATATTTTGAGTATGAAAAATAGTGTTAGAAAATGATCTATTATTAGAAAACCAAATTAATTAAAATACCATAAAACAAAATTTTATGAATTGATTAAATTTTAAAATTTTTTTTTTTAGGGCAAAAATGCCATGAGTTAGCGCTTGGTTGTTAAAGAGGAGGGAAATAGTGCAAATCGAATACGAATTCCCAAACACATGGGTAACCCAATCACTGACAGCACAACTCTTGCAATTAGTTAATTGTGATAGCTCAATAGGGGCATATTAGTCAAACAATAGAAGATAAGTTTGACAGGAGCGTGTGATCTATTTTAAATTATTTTTGATATCAAAATTTAATTGCACAATTTTTTATAATATCTTATTCAGTTATACTTGTGCATAATGATTTTAAAAAAATAGAGAGTTAGTGAATACTGTGTCGTGGTCGGAATGTACTGGATATTAAACCCTATAAAGTTAATTAATTTGCCAATGTTTTTGGTGTTTTTTCTATTATGAGAACTTAGTCCATGCATGTTTGTGGATAATTTTCTATTCTAATTGAACTTTGCCATTTCAAGACAACAATATAATTAGGTTAATCACCTAACAAAAAAGAACTATGGGCTCATGTGTTATAACACTTTTATATTTTCTTGACCCGAACATTCAATTTATTTATATAATATATTGAAACGCTTTTAATAGTTTTAGGTGCATGTATAATACTATTACAACATTCTTATTCTAGATTGCAACAATTTGTGATGGTCTGATAAGTCAACTCGAATAAAGAAATAAGAAAATTGAATAAAAAAAACGATTCAAAACTTATTAGTTTGGATTTTTATATTTTTAATGTAGTGAATGAGATTCATATTTAAACGTATTCATAATATTAAATGGATATAAATTATTCGATTAGACAAATAGGCTATAGTAGCCTGTTTAAATATCATTACTCAAGAAATAGATAGAAACCATTCGGTTAGATAAATCGGTTATAGTATTAAGTCTAAATATCATTATTAAAAAAAACAATACAAGAATTTATTTATTTTTATATAATTTTTTTTCCCCCAATAAAGAGGAAGCAAGTTGGGCCTGGACGGCTGCAGAAGTCAAAGGGTAAGTTAGGGGCCTTTTTGGCAGTTAGGTTAAGTGATCAAACTTTGACTTTAAGATCAATGTTTACAAAATTTTTTTATTGTGAGCAATATATTCACAAACTTTGAACATGCTTTAGTTAGGTACTTCTATAATTGACTAAAATAATATTTCCACACAATCAGCCCCTTAATTTTTAATGGCATTTAAACATTAAAAGGGCATGGACAGACCATACCTCATGTCACAAGAACAAGACTCATCATAGGACTATTAATTGTTTCACTAAAATCTTCGTTAGCAAATAAAAGTAAATGCTATTAATTTTATTCTTCTTTCTTTTATTTGTTTTATAATTATACAAAGTATTAATTGTATCAAATTCTCCTTTTCAAGTATGTATTTTCAATAGTCAATTTTTTAAATATCATTTATTTAACTCAAATGCAACCAATATATATTATATATCTACAATGATGGTGATTGTCTTAGTTGGTTCATGAATTTGTTTTAAATAAATATTATTTTGTTGAATACCTAAACAACAAATCAGAGTGGCGCAGCGGAAGCGTGGTGGGCCCATAACCCACAGGTCCCAGGATCGAAACCTGGCTCTGATATAAAAGAGTCGGCTTCCGGCGTTGTCTTTTTTCTCTAACCACTACAAATATAAAAAACGACGTAGCATCGGTTAACCACAAAGCGGTTGAGATCGCTAAACACACGTGTTTCACATTTGATTGGTCCACGTCGACCAATTCGTTCGCGATATATCGCCTTGTACCCACATAAGAAGTATTACACAATAAATAAGAAGAAACACGCACACACAAATGAAAAACGAGAAAGAGAAGAAGAAGATTAATAGAAAAAGGAAAGAGAAAGGGAAAGTAAAGTTGGAAAAACCCTAACCCCACCCCCAAAATATCGCGATAAATCCACAGTTTCCTAAATCTGCAACCAATCCGTTTATCTCTGCTTCCAGATCATCTCTCTCCGTAAGCTCTCTCTCTCTCTCTCCTTATATTTCTCGCTATTTTCTCTCCATAATTCATTTCTCTTTCATCTTCCATTTTTTAGCTAAATTTATATTCTCTCTCTGTACATATATATACATATATATATATATATGTGTGTGTGTGTAACTGTTTGGTTGCTGAGAGAATGGAAGAAAATTTGAAATTGGTGATTTGATTAACATGTGAAGTTTCGATATATGTCTCCTGGCGTTCAAATGGTGCCTCAGTGGTTCAGTTCTGATACAAGTTGTGTCAGGGATCTGAGTTTATGGAGTTTTTTGTCGGTATTATCAAATTGGAGTGTTCTATTAGGTTACGCAATGAAACGTAAAAACTGTGATGACTCATTCGTTGATGTTACGTTTACATGATGTAGTGTTTGTTTGCTGAGAAAATGGAGGAAAGAAAGAGAACATCTAATTGCGTTCTGTTTTTTTTTAATATGCTAACATCTTGAGAATTTTGAACTTGGCAGTTCCAACGCTTTTTGAACTTGGAGTTCAAGAAGATACAGAGAGTGTTGCAAATATACACCTGGTTTTTGAAAGTCACGCCAATTAGTATCTTTAATAAAGTCAATTTTGTTACTTTTGAATTCTAATTGAGATAAATTGGGTTAAGAAAAAAATTCATGATTGGAGATATGACTTTTAATTTTGAAATTACCAGCTGTTGTCATCAAAATATGAACTTTATTTATTTATTTATTTTTATTTTTAATGTTGAACATTTATGTTGTAGGCTTTTGAATGTCACTGAATTTCTTCCATTTTTTTGCACAAAAATTTCAATTTGAATTTATTTGAATTGGAGTTGTGCATTTTGTTGTGTATGGATTTGGCTGATCATAAAGTGTTATTGTATTTTGAAATAATGCTCACAAACTGCGCCACCATGCTCTTTCTTTCACTAAAAGTTTGGGCATTTATTTTTCTGCCAATATTTGGAAATGATAAAACAAAGCTGAAATTTTGTTCTTGCTTGACAGGACTTGGAAAGGTTGAAGTGTATTGGGGATAGACGTTTGCTAGAAGTTAATTTGGTTCACTCATTTATAATGAAGGATGGGAAGAATATAGAATCATACATCAGCTATATCAGCTAGGATTAATCAGTGTTTCTTATAAACATTTATGAGAAAGAAACAATTTAATAGGAAATCTGACAGTCAAAAAAGGCACTTCAATCCTTTTGGATTGAATTTGAAGAAATTAGGAATCCTAAGACCTTTTATTTTGAAGAGGACAGGTTCAAGTGACAATATTAGGCCATCACCAGCATTAACAACCCACCAGGAGGTGAAACTTTGTGATTTTTTCTAAGACTGATAATGTAATGTCAGATAAATTGCCCCTTCTCTTTGAATTTAATTCTAGTTAAAATGTTTATTTGGTGGTCTTTTTAGTTCAATTCTTACTTTATGCACTTCCAATGCCACTATTGAACTTCATTATATGTACACTGTTTTGAGCGTCTTACAAAGTTTTTTGGAGTAAAAAAGGCGGTGTGATATTTTCACACTCCCGAACTTGAAGCATATAATTCTATTGCTCACATAAGATTTAAGTTCTAATTTAATCATGTGCTGATACATGCCAAGCTATTTCATTTTATGACGATTCTGGATTATTTAATATCAGTAGCATTATATAGTAAGTTGCTGATCATTTTTTTTTTAAAGAAGAAATGTATTTCTCTTGTAATTATGTTGCTAGAATTTCTGTATGGTTGAAGGTTGTCGGTGCTTGTGAATCTCAATTGTTGAATGCCTCATTTTCATCCTTCAAGATTCCTTAATCAGTATTGTATCCCATAATTTGTTGCTGCTACTGTAAAGCATTCTCGTCCATTTTTCTTGGGATGATTCTTGGGCTTTTTCATCTTCAATTTTCTTTGTTTTTTCGGTAGTTCACAGATTTCTTACAATTGTTCATTTATTTATGTAGTCTTCTTGTTCAGGTCACTGTTGAGAACAGCAAGGCGTCAACGTCATCAGTAAGTACGTGCATTATGAATTTCTGTTGTAACATCAACTGTGCTGAGATGTCATGTCTTGAGTTATTGCTACGATATGACTTTATGACTTACCATCTGCATGTTAGTTGGTATTATCTGATTTCTATAACTTTTACGGTGTTGAGTTTGGTATTATCTGATGAGCTGTGATAGACATCTCCAAACAATTTCGAGATATCCATTACAAAATAGGAAAACGACCACGTCCCTTACAATTTTATATCTCTTCAATAACCTGCCAACCGTGTCAGCTCTGTCTCTTCTTTGTTGGGGATTTGCAGAACACAAAACAAAGAAAGTATGAAAGATAAACATGTATGAATCTTTAAAAGATCTAGATTTGTTGGTAAGGAACTGGTTTTGGTCCCACGAGGTCTAATTTCCTCTACTGATCAGTTCTCCAAAAAAAAAAGAGGAAAAATGATGTTGAATCCATGTCAAGTGTGATGACGAACATAAGATTAATATTGAATTGAAGTCTAATAATGATTTTTTTTGGTAAACTTAACAAATTTAGATGAGGGAAAAAATTAGGGTTGTTATATATACTCGAGAAAATGTGTTAGAATTGTTAAGGGGAAGTGGTAGCAGCTCTTGCATATTCTGATTAGTCTTAAAATTTGCAATATCTTATATGGATAGCCTCTGTTTGAAAGCAAGGATTCACGATGGCACCACCCTTTGCTGTTAATGACAAAATCCACGGCTGTGTTTTTAATCCTTTGTTTGAGGCTCATGATGGTGGAAATAGGATTTTAGTGGGAAAGCGATTGTATCAGATTTAGTTATTACTCAAATCTTAAACTCACTCACATATGACTGACGCGTTAGCGGCCATGTCATTCAAGTTCCATAACACGAAAATCATTCCTGAAATACAGCATTTTCCTTATCTGATTTCTGTAACTTTTATGGTGTTGAGTTTGCACAGATTTCTTTTGTTGTAAGTTTGTCGTTACAATTTGAAAACTAGTACAAGGTTGAATTGTATAAAATTTAGAGTCATCTTGATTACTTGCTTGTGGAATTACGATCCTCATTCTAATATATATATATATATATATATATTTGGGTGAATTGCATTAATTCCTCGACTTATAGCTTTTGCAGTAAACCCCCCAACAACAACTAACCAGAGGGGGTGAACAATTACTAAAATACCCCACCAAGTCAAGGAGGGTTTTATGCAATTCGCTTAATTGTGTGGATTTAGCTAAAAGAATGTGTCGGTGTTTTTTTTTTTTTTTTTTTCTTTTTCTTCCTTAAATAATAATATTTAAACTTATATTTTCTGTTACATGCATCACCATACTTTTAATTAAAGAAAAACATAAAAAAAAAAGAATTAAAAAAAAAGTTAGAGTTATAATTTCATCTACATATAAGTTCAAATCTTACATGTTTACTCGTATTATATATTATATATACCGTTATTATATTATTTAAAAAAAATTATTTTATACAATGCGTATATACCATAAGTATATGAGATGGACATTTCATCAAACAATTAGATAGACAAAAATGAATTTTTATTAAAAATAATAATTGAATGGCATAAAATAGTAGGCTTTTCTCTCATTTTGTTTGGTTGAATAGAAAAATAATGAAGAAAAGAGGGTAAAGAATATTTCAGGATTTAACTATGCTAGACATATGCTAAAGAAATAACATGTAGTTGCACTCACAACTATGAAATTTTTTTTTTTTTGATGTTTAATTAAAAGTATGGTCATGCACGTAATAGAAAATATAAATTCAAATATTATTATTGAAGAAAGGGAAAATCAAACAGTATATTTTAACTAAATTCACACAATTGGGTGAATTACATAAAACCTCCCTTGACTTGGTGGGGGGTATTTTAGTAATTGTTCACCCCCTCTGGTTAGTTGGGGGGTGAGGGGTTGGCAAAAAAAATTAAAAGGAAAGTTTTTTTTGTAGCTGTTCATTTTTTTTTTTTTCCTAGTTGGGACTCACACACTGCCTCCACTGAGGTTCGAACCCCTGACCTCCCTTTGGAAAGTAGGAGCCTTGTACCGCTAGGCTACAGGCTTGTTGGTCAATTATTTTGTTTCTTACTTCGAATATTCATCATAAAAACAAATTAAATGGCCTCAAATTTCTGATATAAGTTTATTTTAATGTCAAATAATCAATAAAAGAAAGCAAAAGATAAACTGTAACAAAAATACTTGTAATTTATAACATGTTGGTTGTTTGTTTATTTTCTGGCAGTGGTCCGAGAAAAAGATGTTTGTTGGGAATATGCCGAGAAGTTAGATGGGAACAAGGTGAGATGCAAATTCTGCTTTAGAGAATTGAATGGCGGCATTAGTAGGTTAAAGCATCATTTGTCTCGACTTCCCAGTAAAGGTGTAAATCCATGTAGCAAGGTAAGGGATGATGTTACTGATAGGGTGAGGGCTATAATAGCATCAAAGGAGGACGGCAAGGAAATTTCTACTATTAAAAAGCAAAAGGTAGCAGAACCTATATCTCCTGTAAATATATCTGTAAGCAGAGCTCTTATGTCTATTGAGGCAGCATCTCCAGTTGCAAAAATTTTTCCTTCTATTTCACAAACAGGCCCTTCCTCTGGAAATGACCAAGAAAATGCAGAGAGAAGTATTGCCCTGTTCTTTTTTGAAAACAAGTTGGACTTCGGTGTAGCCCGTTCTTCATCTTATCAACTAATGATTGATGCAGTAGGAAAGTGTGGTAGCGGATTTAGAGGTCCATCTGCAGAAACCCTAAAAAATACATGGTTGGAAAGGATCAAGTCTGAAGTGAGCTTACAATCAAAAGACATTGAGAAAGAATGGGCTACAACAGGTTGTACTATAATGGCAGAAACTTGGACGGACAACAAGTCAAGAGCTTTGATTAATTTTTTAGTTTCATCACCCTCAAGAACATTTTTTCATAAATCAGTTGATGCATCTTCATATTATAAAAACTCAAAATGCCTTGCTGATTTATTTGACTCTGTAGTTCAAGATTTTGGCCCAGAAAATGTTGTGCAAATAATAGTGGATAATAATCTCAACTGTACCGGTATAGTTAACCATATCCTGCAGAACTATGGAACTATTTTTGTGTCTCCTTGTGCTTCCCAGTGTTTGAATGCAATCTTAGAGGAGTTTTCAAAGGTTGATTGGGTGAATAGATGTATATTACAGGCACAAGCTATTTCAAAGTTTATATATAATAATTCATTGATGCTTGAGCTAATGAAGAAGTTCACTGGGGGACAGGATATCATTAGGAGTGGTTTCACAAAGTCTGTTTCCAACTTCCTTTCGTTGCAATCTGTATTGAAGCAGAGGTCAAGATTGAAACATATGTTTACCAGTCATGAGTTTTCCTCAAATTCACTTGCAAATAAACCACAAAGTATAACTTGTATTGGTATTCTTGATGATAGTGATTTCTGGAGGACAATTGAAGAGTGCGTTGCTGTTTCTGAGCCTTTCCTTAAAGTGCTGAGGGAAGTGTCTGGAGGAAAACCTGCTGTGGGGTTTATATATGAGTTGATGACCAAGGCCAAGGATTCAATAAGGACATACTACATCATGGATGAGATTAAATGCAAGACATTTTTAGATATTGTAGATAAAAATTGGCAGAACCAACTCCATTCGCCTCTACACGCTGCAGCTGCATTTTTGAATCCCAGTATTCAATATAATCCAGACACTAAATTTATTGGATCCATAAAAGAAGACTTTGTCAGAGTTCTAGAGAAACTACTCCCAACGCCTGAACTGAGGCGAGACATCACTAAGCAAATTCTATCATTTACAAGGGCTTCAGGGTTGTTTGGTTGTAACCTTGCAAAGGAGGCTATAGATACGGTCTCACCAGGTATGTATATAGTTTTATCTTATTCAACATATCGGGAGATCAAAACTTTTACACTATACATTCTTTCATGAGCACTTCTCACAGACTGAGCGGAATAAACACTATTTTTATGAGCAGACTGTTTCCTCAGCATTTGTTGAAATCACCATATTTTTGCCTATCAAGTTATATCATGATGTAAAAGGGTTCTCATTCCTTAGTTATAACACTTTTCTATCCTAGGTGGAACTTCCTTCAGATATGTTCCCCAGTTTCATATCAGAATCAATTAGAACTCGCTATTCTATCATATGACAAGCTTCAGTTGGAATTAAATTCTCAAAAGTTCTTTTTTTTCCCTCACAAATATTTGAATAAATATATGGATAACCTAATTTTAACTCCTTTTAAAAGAACATGAAAGTTTAAATAACTACTCCCTAATACTTCATCTTCTTCACATGTGTATGGAACAGCTGCAGGCATCTTTATTCTGAGCAAAAATTTAACTTTTCGGTTCTGATGATAATGTAGATCGTTGGAGTGTCGCTTACAAAAGTCTCCTTTATCTTATATCATTAGTAGGTGGAGTTCGGATTTATAAAATTTGCGAAATTTTATTATCTTAATAATAGTCTAAAATTTTCACATACATATTCATGCACATGCTTAAACGCCCTAATCCTGCATTGGCCTTCTAAGTTGTTGGCGCTGATTTACTGAAAATGGTAACATGCAAATTACTAAATATCTTGCATTTTCTTTTAATTATAGGCATATCATGTATAGCTTTATGCTTTTAGCTGTGATGTTAACCTGTGGTGTCGGGTTATCAATTGCAATTTTAGGCTTTAGATGAGTTGAGTATTGGTTTCTACTGAATTCTTTTTACCTGTGCATTACAGTTGGGCCTAATTTTTGAAGAATAGTGTGTGAATACACACGTGTAATTGTGTGGGTATGGGTACCAATTACTTTTTTTTTTTTTTTCTCATAATTGGGTACCAATTACTTGTTTGAAGTGTTAACAGATTGCTTATATAATATAGGGCTTTGGTGGGAACAGTATGGTGATTCTGCACCCACATTGCAACGAGTTGCCATTAGAATACTCAGTCAGGTTTGCAGCACTTCTACATTTGAGAGGCATTGGGGCACATTCCAGCAAATCCACTCTGAGAAGCGGAATAAGATTGATAAGGAAACATTGAATGACCTAGTCTACATAAATTACAATCTCAAGTTAGCAAGATCAATGAACTTGAAGTCCCCAGAAACAGATCCTATTCAAGTTGATGACATCGACATGACTTCGGAGTGGGTAGAGGAGAATGAAAACCCAAGCCCCACTCAATGGCTTGATCGATTTGGTTCTACACTTGATGGAAGTGACTTGAATACAAGACAATTTAGTGCTGCTATATTTGGTGGAAGTGACCACATATTTGGTTTGTGATCATGCAATTCTTAAACTTCACATGTTGTATTAAATGTGTTTTTTAGATCATGTTTGATAGGTTGTTAGCAGATTCTCTTAGTATGATAATTGTTGCTTCTTATTGGAGTAGATGTAATATGTAGTTATGCTTAATAGATATTGTCTTGCCTTCTTTTCTGTAAATAGATGTGTTGCACACAGACTCCGATTCTGTAAATATGCTTCTCCTTTTATTTTATTTTATTTTCTATTTTTTACATTAAAGGAAATAGCTATATACCTGATTATTTTTAGTGTGAAGAACAATAATGAGGAACACTAATACAGGGAAGACTAGAAAAAAATTGTCAAGCTTTTCTGTTGTCTAAAGATGCTATTTGGATTTTTCACTTCTTTATTGAGTGCTCACTACAGCCTATGAAAAGCTTTCCTTTTGATCACTGTGTTATAATGACTTTTCTTAGATCTTTGCACCAAAATATATCTGGGAGAGTGATTATGTTCTGTGGTCTCCTAAATGACTCTTCTCATATGTAAGAATCATGTATAATGTTTTTGGCTCACCAATCACCTCTTTTCTTAGCTTTAATCTGATTTGCTTTTAACAGGGGCAACAAGAATCTTCATCATGAAATACCAGATATGGTATAATTATGGAATTTATTCTTAATTCTGCAAATCCTTTTTCATGAACATTTGAACAATTTTGCAGGATTTTAGAGACAACTATGGCGGTGTGTGGGTGCCTCCCCCAGGAGTATTCTCCCCAGTTCTGGTAGATAAGTGAAGGAAATGTAAGTTCTACCTCTTGCATTGCCTACTGAATAAGCTGCAGTACTATGTACTCCTTACATTATTATCATATCATCTTGTGGATGAAATTATGTATTAGTTTCTGGGCTCTTTTCTTCTTGTGGTAATTACAAGAAAATGCTATTGTATATGATATGTAGTGAACTTATGGATATGTTAAAAAGGAGAAAAAATCGAAGTAGCTTTGCCTCCAAGAGACCAAATGGAAAGGTGAAAAGGCTAGAGAGATTGGTGAAGGGTACAGACTCTTTCGTTCTGGTGGTAAAGATAATCATAGGAATGGGTTAAGGGCCTAAGGCATAGCGGTAGACCAGTATATAAGAGGTAATGTCGTAGAAGTTAGAAGACAGAGATAGATTAATGACTATAAAAATTGTTTTAGCCACTTTAGTGTTAAATATAATAAGTGCCTATGCCCCACAAGGAGCATTAGAAGAGAGCACAAAAATGATATTTTGGGAACCACTAGACTTATTTATACAAAGTATAACAAGGCATTAAACAAGGATTCATGGAAGATATGGTTTTAGGGTAAGAAATGAAGAAGGATAAACACTTTTAGATTTCGCAAAATCATATGATTTAGCCAATTTTTTTATAAAAAGAAAAAGAAAAAAGAGAAGAACATTTAATAACGTTCCAAAGTGGTTCAAGTAAAACACAAAATGATTATTGTCTGTCTCAAGAGGGGAATGGAACACATGTAAAGATTGCAAAGTAATTCCCGGTGAGAGTTTAACAAACCAACATTTGCTATTAATATTGGATCTGTCAATTACGGGACTTAAAAGTTGAAAAGCAATAAAAGGCCAACAAACCATAAATGTGGAAAGAGTTGAAAGGGGATAAAAAGATAACATTTAAAGAGTGACTTGTACAAGGAAAGCAATGGAATTGGGATGAAATTATAAATATCGTATGGTCCAAAATTGCAAATCATATTAAGAAGGTAGCTAAGGAGACTCTAGGAGAGACCAAAGGTAAAAAATTTATCAAAAAGGAAATATGGTGGTTGAATGAGGAGGTACAATAAAATGATCAAAATAAGAGAGAGAGAGAGAGAGAGAGAGCAAGAGAGCTCTAAAGAATGGCAAAAAGAAAGAAAGAAGGATCATTTAGAAAAATAGAAAAAAATTGAAAAGTGAATTGAAGTGGTATAAAAAGCTAAAGAGAATGCACTAATAGTACTCCCTCCATCTTAGAATAAGTGTCCACCTTTCTATTTTTATCCGTCCAGAATAAGTGTCCCATTTAAAAAGTCGATGTACTATTTCTTTTGTAATATTACCAATTAAACCTTCTTGCATTGAACCTATAAAAAGTAAACCATCACATTATTCACTAATTATAAATTTGATAATTTATTCACTACTAATATGAGAAAAAAATAATCAAAATCATTTTCTTAAAAAGTTAGATTCTCAAAAAGGAACACTTGTTTTGGGACGGAGAGAGTACGTATGAAAAATTGGGGCCAAAGGAAAATGAAAAAGATATTTATAAATTAGCAAAAAATAGAGATGGGTTGACTGGGATGTGGATCAAATTAGATGCATTAAGGATAGAAATGATGTAAATAGAGGCAGCAGTAGCACCGGCTAAAATAAAAATGCAACGCCAATCAACAAGAGAGAACTAGGTTCTTACATGTAGTGATAATATTCACACTGTCGCGACAGTAAAGTTCTTAATCTGGAATTTCAGATCTGGTCTGATAGAGAAATGGCGGTAGATTGCTAACCTCTTGCAGTTGTAGAGGGATTGGATGGCGTCACGGGGTCAACTCTTCAATCCTAGTCTCCAATGCTTGAAACCCTACCTGGTTTGAGATCAACAGCTCTGGCTCTAGAATTGTAACGGCCCTAAACTGATACCAATTATAAAAAAAAAAATTCGGCATGACCTCTGCTAAAAAGGGTCCTACAACAACCTACTTAAATGCATAAAAATGCATAAGGCCCCTCTTGAACCTTTAAAATTTACCTAACCTGTCCCAGCACAATACAAATAATACATTTATTTCATCCATTCATTATATCTCAACATAGTTCAGTTTATGGTGGAACAACTACATGCTATTTAATCCAAATATCATAATTACAGTCCCAAAAATATAATTAAGGTCAAACGTCCATATCTTACAACGTTTAGACAACTTCTAATAAAATTACAGCCCATAAATATAACTACAATAGTAAGAGTCCATAAGTCTCAGTATAGAATACAATATACTAAGTTTTACAAAAATAGTGGGACTTAGATACAAAAATAACAAAATGATCATCTAATCCATGCCAGACCTGTGGTGGAACGTCATTCGCCACTTCATTCCCGTTCCCTGAAAAATGTTAAAATGAAGGGGTGAACATAAGCTCAGTAGGAAGTGCCTAAGGTACACCTCTTGAGACCTAGTGAATCCATACAATGAATAGGAATAAGGAAATTGGGATCATACCATGCCGGAAAAAAATATAACCACAATACCACATCATTAATCCGATACCACAAATGAATATGCCATGCAATGATATGCCGTGCCATGCAATGTCACTCCCTATTTTCCAAAACCATTTCCATTATCATTTTCAAACCATTAGTGAACCCGTCCCATGACAACTTCATGGCGACACGAGAGGAGGATTGGCCACTGTCCCTGACGTATGGCAACTCCATGGCGTCATTTGGGGCCCAGGTAACTCAACCATACTAGGGCGATCTTCCTAGTCCCCTCTAGGCCTCACTAACGCTACGGTCCCTAGGCAACTCCTAGGTGGCCGGGTTTTTCACAAAATCATTTTCAAAATTCTTTCCCAAATATATATATATATTTTTTTTTCTTTCAAAAACAATATTCCCCATTTCATCCCAACAACGTGCATGTACGTTTCATATTTTCATGCCATGCCAATATTTATCAACACACATGTAATTTTCAAACTCCTTCCATTTTACATGCTTTACAAGAATTTCAAGGAAATTATCACATTACTTACATTCAACAATAAGCTAGCAGGATTAGGCATGTAAGACATGAATTCTATGTCATTCAAGCATGCTATTACACATAATGTCAATTAAAACACATAGTCATGTAATTCATTTAGAACAATTAAATCATTTACAAGAAGATCAACGCAAAATAGCATGTTAAGTAGTAAAATCAAGAAGGAAATTCACTAAGGTGCAATAAATTGTACATTAAGAACCCCTACCTCAAAGGAGGAGAAAACTCCCGATTCCAAAGCCCTAGATTCGAAAATTCAAGGAGGCACCAAAGCTGAAATGGATTACATCTATGTGAAGATCTCGCTGTGCTCTTCGATTTGCCACAAACGGCACCCAAAAATTCTCAAAAATGAGAGAGTAATTGTAGTTTAAAGTTGAAGAAGGAAAAAGAAAAAAAAAAAGAGAGAGAAAGATGTCTATTGCCGGGGAAAGAAGAAACCTTTGAGGCCAAAATAATGACCCTTTGACCTTTAGAAGAATAAGTGGGGAGTGGACCCCACTACTAAGCATTAAACCCATTTTTTTACATTATATATATATATATATATATATATATATATGTGTGTGTGTGTGTGTGTGTGTGTGTGTGTGTGTGTGTGTATAAAATTCATAACATTACAAGAATCTCTATTCAAAAACTGCTGAAAGACATTTTTTTTCTTTATATACTACCCTAAAGAAGCTACATTAGGGTTTTGTATGTAAGCCCCTAAAAAGACAAGAAACCTTTCTAATACACCATACACATAAATTTTATTACAAAAACAATTTAGGGTTTTGTATGTAAGCCCCCAAAAATACAAGAAACCTTTCTAATACACCATACACATAAATTTTATTACAAAAACAACCCAAATACTCCAGAGCAGCCCAAAATTAATCTTGCAAAACTAAAACATCCAAAATCTAAAATTACAAAACTACCCCTAAACTACACCATTTAGAAAACAACCCCAAACACCTACTAAACACATACTATATATATTTATATATATTCAAATCAAGATCAAAATATGTTAGTTAAAGAGACGGACATATTAAATAGATGGAAAGATTATTTTCAACTACTTTTGAATGAGGAATATTCTAGAGAAGCAATTACATACGATGAACATAACATGGGAATGATAAATAGATCAATAATAGAGAAATAGAGGATACACTAACCCCAAGCGGTTGGCTCAAGTGGGTAAGTGTAACAAGGGGGAGCTTATCCACATCGGATCTGGATGGGAGAGTGATTGGGTATATATGGGTTAGGTGTTAGCCCCACCTAATAGTTTAGGCTTTGGGTCGGATCGTGAAGCACCCACCCGTTATATTTGGCATCAGAGTCAGACCCACTCCTTGATCTGGTCTCATGCCAAGCGCTTGGCCTGGAAGGTGTCCGGTTAGGCAGGGTTGCTCGAGCTGGGGTTCGGGTAAGGGAGAATGTAACAAAAGGGAAAACTTGTCCCACATCTGATTTGGATGGGAGAGTGATTGGGTATATATGGACTGAGTGTTCGCATTACAACAAAATACTGATGTGGTGGCAAAATTTTAACAACAATTTTAAAAAAATCTACTATTGGTATGTTTGTAATAGCATTTTTAATAAATGCTGCATCTGACTGCTGTAGCAACATGGGCCCATATTTTATTTTTCATTTTTATTATTCATTATTCATTTCTCATTTTCTCTCTCTACCCCCGCTCCTAATCGCTTATCATTCTCTCTCTATACCCCCAGTCCTCACTCTCTCTCTCTAACTCCACTATGTCGCTCGTCGCTTTTGGCTCATCTCATCCCTGTGGCTCCTAAAATCTTACTTTGAATCCTAGTAATACAAATTTTCTCACTATTTCTGTGTAGATTTCTTCTCTTTGTTTGGAAAGTTTTTCAATGGAGAGCTTGATTTACATTTGATCTTCCAAAATCAGATTGTGAACTCTATGCTTACGAGTTTTTCTCACTCTATCTGAGCATATATCTTCTCTGTTTGGAAAAATTGTCAATCGAAAAGATTCATTTACATTTGAGATATATTCGGTTGTGCTATTTGATTTGGGAGTTAAATCGACATCTGATTCGTCGAAACAAGGCAACGATCATCGCCGTTATATTTTTGTCCACTCGCAGGTAAATTTCACAAGCATTGCCCCATTTTTGTTGGATTCATTATTTAATTGGGGATTGATGTTAATTTTGTACGAAACCCTAACTTTCTAAGAATTTGAAGCCTATACGTGTATATATATATATATATATATATATATATAGTTGAAATTATATATATATATAGTTGTTGTTAATGCAGATTGTTTGGCCTTTTGTCATCTCATTTCGGCTCAGATCCCTTTTTTTATTTTCTGGTGTTCTAATCAGGGTACTTTTGTTACTTGTTTCCTAATGATGTAAATAGTCAAGAATTGAGAAAATGAAATAACGCTCTATCTCATTCGGCTGAAATTATCTCTTTTCTTCTCATTTCAAACCTTAATCACAAACTCAGAGTACTTTGCATCTCAACTGAGTTCTATTTTTAAGGATGTGAATGAAGAAGTTTCCACATAGAGACTGGAGGTAGTTTTTAGTTTGTTCAATGAAACAGCATGTGATGTTTATGTTTTTTTTCAGCATTTTCATTTTTCTAATAATTCGTGGAGACAAGGGTATTTCTGTCTTTTCGCATGTTGTGTTCGGGATTGTGATTGGGTTCATTTGCATTATGTACATTTTAAATTATGTGGATTAAGTAGTATTTACATGTGGTGCACTTGTGTGTGTGGTGTATGAATTGAAGTAAAAGTAAAAGAGAAAAGAAAAGAAAATTAAGGTGGGACCCACCACTACCTTAAATGTGGTTTTGAGACCATATCTTTGCTCACACATTTTTCATTCTCCCGTAAGTTCTCTCCCTCCCTCTTGCTCCTAGCTTTTCTTTTCATTTTTGGCTTCAAATCTTTGAATCTTCATAACTTCTTCACTTCTTAGTGAAATTGAGAGCCGTTTGAGGCAAAACGTCGAGCACATCGAGCTTTACGCATCCATACCTGAAATTCCAGATTTGGTGCCCTCCTTGGAGTTCGAATTTCAGGACCCATTTCAAGGGTTTTGTCCATTTTCGAGGTAGGGGCCCTTAATCCACTTCCTTCTTGTTCCATTGTGAGTTATATCTCATTTGTGTGATAAACATGCTTAAATTAAGAGTTAATTATTTCAATGTTGTGTAATTGATGTCTAGAGAAATTCATGATTTTGATTATGATTTGTTCTATGTGAAAAGCATGTTGTGGTGATAGTTTTGTTGTGTTTAATGTGTTGATGAATCAATTGATGATGTTGAATATGATATATGCTTAGTTTTGAAGTAATTATGAAATGTAAAACTTCTACATGCCATAATATTGTAAGCTTGAGACACATATACATGTACATGCCATTGGGTTGCATGAAATGGGATAAATCAGTTTTTGAAATGAAAATGGAAATTTTGGGGGAAGAGTTTTTGTGAAATGATTTTGATAAATCTGGTCGCTGCGGGGTTACCAACGGGCCGGAGGTTAATATAGCCTAGAGGGGACTAGGGAGTCGCCCTAGCGTGGTTGAGCTAGCTGGGCCCCATAATGACGCCGCGGGGTTACCAAGTGTCAGGGACACTAGCCAATCCTCCTCTCGTGTCGCGGCGAGATTACCAAAGGGCGGGCTGTATTAATAGTTGGAAAGTATGGTTTTGAGAAATGAAAATGGGGAGTGACATATTATGTATTGCATTTCATTACATTGCATTGTTTACACTTGGAATTGACATTGAAGTTGTTTTAACCCTACATTGCATGATCCCCATTTCCCATTGGCTTATGCTTTGATTGGATTCACAAGAACACAAGATGTGTGTCTTAAGTGTCACCTACTGAGCATATAGCTCACCCTACTATATATATATTTTTTCAGGTCTTGGAAAAGAACCGGCGGATGCCAATCCACCTCAAAATTGAAAGTTGTTAGAAGATGATTTTTGCTATTTTGTATTCGGCCATTCCATGTATAATCATAATTTTTGGAGAATGTAAATAAGTTTGCAATTATGGCTATTGGATAATGTAATTAAGTTTTATCCAATCATAAGCCTTTTGTGTATTTAAGTAACGTGTGGTGATTCATGTTGGTGATTCATGTTGGTGATGGCTATTGTAGTTTTATTTGATGTTAAAATGTAATTAACTTTTATTACACTAAATCCTCTAGTGTATTTTAGTGACGTGTGGTAAATTACGTTGATAACATAGTTGTTGTACTCGAATTTATTGTTGAAATGTATTAATTTTGCACGTAAATGTTGTGATGTGGGTGGTTGAACGATCAAAAGTTGGAGTACAGGGTCACACAGGGATAGTGGAAAGTGGGAGTGAAGATTTTTTTTTGAACCGGTCGACGTATAACCCAAACCGGTCCACCGGTATCTTCACAGTATGTTTGAGCAATTTACGTCCCAAACCAGTCCCAAACCAGTCGGCCGGTATCCATTGTAACTTATGTTCAGAACCAGTCGACCGGTATCCCAAACCAGTCGACCGGTATCATGGCAGTGGGTTTTCCCACTGTTCATATCCCAAACCAGTCGACGGTATACGTCGACCGGTTCTGCCTTTTCATGTAATTACCAATTTAAGTTGGCATCATTTGAAGTTGAAATTAATTATTTTTATGACCCAATTAAATGCCATAATTATATTTTTGCCCCAAAAGGACTATTTTGCCTCGAACCTTATTTTATGTACTATGTGATTCAAGTTAAGGACTATTATACCCTTGAGTCTCAATTTATGGATTCATGGCAAATTACCAATTTGCCCTTTTTGGACCTTGTTATTTAATTTTGACGTGAAATGACCGTTTTACCCTTGGATGATTTTGGGTCGGGTACGGACCCGTTTAATGATCCGGATCCATGAGGATTTGGGTCGTTACACAGCAATGCAAGTAAGACAGTACTCTGTAAGGTCAAAGGAAAAAAGGACTAAGTATTGGTTAATTCCTTTGAGGGATCTAATTTTTGTAAATCAGTTTGAGTTTCAATTTATATGGGTAACCTTTAATTTCTTATGGTGCATTTGACAGTAATTTATACTATTATGAAAGGTGAACCCGCTCTTGGTAGGTTGAAGCTGTGTTCACACTTCATAAATGCCCTTCGGGTTTCTCACTAGTGAAATTTTCTAAAGTTCTTTTTTCAAATATTGAGGGTAAAACTAGCTAGGAAGTTTATATTCTTATAGGTAAAACTAGCTTTCCTAATTTCTCTTAATCTAACCATGTAAACTACGATTTGTGATTATGATATTTTACATGTTTGAGGAGTTTAATAGGATAATAAATACTTTTTTTTAGTCTTCCACTTTCCATATTTACCCATGTATCTTGCTCTCTCTTTCTTTTTTCTTGTACTTATTTTCAGATTCTTCTTCAAGTAACTTCTTCCGTAGTTTCTGTAGCAACTCACTTCATGTTTAAATAATAAAAGGAATTTTTGTCACTCATGTGAATAAGAATCATAGCAAAGAAGAGGGGACTCATTTTTCATTCTGCACCATCTACATTCCATTAATTATCAGTAAGGTTTGTTCATTCTTTTTGATATTTTCTGGTTAGTTTATCTGCATTTGAATTTAAGTTTGATTTCTTTTTAATGCCTCGATGTCTGGTATCATCATATTGGATCCATCAATTGTTTAAATAAGTAATGCTTGGACGAGTCTCTTTTATGTTAGTGGTGTTTATCATGAAATTAGGTCCCACAAATATTTAGTTCCATATTTCTGATTTCTTGAGATTATGCTGCTTGAAATTTTTACTACCAGTAGTTGTGAGTCTGTGACATCTCCGTTCGAAGAATCGATTTGTGCCTTTAAATGATATGGGGGAGACAATGGAGTGAATTGTCCAAATGTGATCTGACATTTCTCAAGTGCTTTTATAATGCAATACTATAAACTATCTCCTGTTTTCCCCTGATAAGAGATTGAAGAGGTTGAATCTTATCCTGCCACGGCTATGCTTAGAGTAGGGTATGGTACTAAATACAAAAAATAAGTCCTAGTTGTCTAGAGATTTTTATGGAAGATAGTATCTCAAGGAAATGATGACAAGAAGAATAGTTTTAGCTGTTAAAGGATTCCCTTGTTAAATTAATTGAAGAAAAATGACAACTAGGGGCATGCTTGTTGATATATGTACCTAATGACTTCTCTGCGTTTCTCTGCAGGGGATCTGTGGGGGAGAGAGATTCAGCTACATCTTCCTATTATCATGGTGGTGGTGTCGAGGGGGATATTCAACTTCATCTTCTAGTTACAGTAATGGTAAAGAGAAGTTTCCAGAAGATACCATGGTTTCTAACTCTAAGCTGGTCTCACCTGGCTCAGTTGATTATCCTGCTGTTGGTAAGACATTCATTTGGTTCTAACATTCACCTTGTTCGATAATTTTTTTAAAAGATGGTTTTCAATCATATTATTGGCATTTCCATCAGGGTCATCAAGAGCTACTGCACCTTTGCATGACTTGGATCAAATTGATGTGGGGAAGTCCTATCCTCTTATTTTCCCAACTGCAAATGGGAATGATAGGCTAACGTGTGGGAATGTTAATTTAGCATCACCTCCACTGAAGCAAAGCTCCTTTAACAGTGGTTATCCTGTAACTTCTCGTGAACTATGTCCAACTGGCACTTCTTCTGGTGAAGAAAGTTACATTGTAAATAGTCCATCTTCTCTGAAAAGTGGCTCACTTTCTACTGAAAGAACTATTGCCAGAGAAGTTCAATCTTCAAATAGTGTTGTGACCGGTGAAGGTTCAAATACGAGTTCTGATTTTGAGTATGAACATTCTTGATGAGGGGCCACTGCATGAAGAATTGCATGACCCACTATACTTTGGGCAGTATTTTCAAGAGGGGTACTGTAAAGCATCAATTCATGATGACTGATGTGAATCAACAGCAGTTCCTGATGTTGACTGCAGAAGTAGTCCTTGCAACAAGGAGAAATCTTATGAAGATGGGGACATCGATGACATGCTTGGGGGTGTATTTTCCTTCTCTGGAGAAGGTAAGAAATCTGATGGAATTTACATAGTTTGATCATCTTTAGTTGGAAAATTGTATTTGTGTGTCATCCTCATTTCTGTTGAATCTGATTTTATATCACTATTTTAAGATGCATATCATGCTCATTCCTTGAGTCAAAGCTTGAGATCTATTTAGGCATGAAAAAATGCAGACCTTTTGATCCTTGGGCCTCAAAACTGCAAGAGACATGTGAACTAATCCTCCTCTTAGCTGAAGTGCTTCCACCAAAAATGCAAAAGAAAAGAACAATATAAACAACATTAGCAACCGGTTTAAATTAATCAACGTGAATTTGACCTGCCAAGATTGGTTTACAGGCAGAGGACGTATATATTTGTTTAATTCTTTATTTATTATTATTGTTATTTTTTAACGTGGCACTTTGGATGAGTAGACCTGAGTGTTCTAAAGGAATGTCATTCAAGACTCCACTGAAATGGAACACAATAGAGCAATACACAACAACGCAAGCAATCATTTAATTAATGTGAAATTGACCAGCCAACATTAAATTACAAACAGAAGAGCTATTTATTTTTTTTTTAATTTTTATTGTGCTAGACTTGAAGTGTTATAAGGAGTGTCATTGAAGTATTAAACATCCAGCTAATGCAAAAACAAATTGAAGGAGTGAAAATGCTACAAATTCAGAAAAATAAAAGAAAATACTTACCTAATAGCTTACAAGCTTCCTGCTCAATTTAGTACCTGTTGTCCAATAGAACAAATTTCAAGTGTTATAAAAATTGACATTTTACGTATTGAAAATCTAGCTAATACAAAAATAAATTTAGGATGAATTAGAGATATTTTACCTATTAGCTTTGACGCCACCTCCTCAATTTGGCCATATTTATTGTTGTTGTCACATAAAGCCAATCTTTTATGTTGATCAGGAACTTGAAATAGGCATATTCCCATGAACGTTTGAGCAATAAAGTGGCAAAAACTCCACCAAGTCCAACACCAAAACCCAGCCCCATGCTGACATAGAATTCTCGGTTTCTAAACCCGTCATCTTTTTGAATGATTCTTTCCTCACCGTGAACAGTTATGGAAGGATTCAAATCTGACTCATCCCCTGGGCACTTATTTGGAAGCGGAAGCCCACAAAGTTCATGATTGCCAGCATATGCAGAGGCATTAAAGCTCTGTAGTTGAGTGCTTGACGGAATTTTTCCGGACAAGTTGTTATTTGACAAATCCAAGACCGAAAGAAAGGTTAAACGAGTGATACTTATTGGAATCTCACCAAAAAGTTGGTTTCTAGACAAGTCAAGAGATTCCAACACTTTTAGCTCACCAATCTATTTAATTAAATGCCCTGTCAGATAATTGCTAGACAGGTTCAAAGAAAGCAATTCAGCAAGACTTGAAATTTCTTCAAGAATTTTTCCAACTAATTTATTGCCAGAAAGATTGATGCTGCTTAATAGTGCTAGACTATTTTTGTATTTGAACTCTCGTCCTTTCCATTGCACTATTGCGTTGTCCGCATATAGGCCGTTTGGATACCAAATTTTACCCTCATAAGATTGAAAAGAAATATCAATGGTTCCTTGTGATTTATTCCTTCAAACCAAAGCTGTAAAATTATTGAAGCACCGAGGTATAATTCCAGATATATTATTGTGGGAGAGATCCAAGATTTGAATAGAGTTGAGATGGCATATTTCTAGAGGTATGTGTCCATGCAACTTATTCAATCGTAGACTAAGGATAATTAAACCTGTCAAGTTTGTCCCTATCCATGATGGTATTTTTCCTGATAATTTATTTTCTCCCATATCAATGATCTGCAAATCACTACAGTTCTTCAATGACGAAGGCAATTCTCCAGTGAAATTGTTATTGCGTAAGTGCAATGATTGAATTCGATAGAGGAAACCCATAGAGCTAGGAATTCTTCCAGAGAAATTATTGTTAGCCAAATTAAGAATGACTAAGTCATGCATATGCATCCAGCAATCAGGAAGCTCCCCTGATAATTGATTATCTGATAGGTCAATAAAGGCGATAAACTCAGTGGTCATGTTGCATAAGAAAGAAACTGACCCATAAAACATATTTTCAGAGAGATTCAAAAGTGTGATGTTGGGAGGAAATAGTGGCACTGGACATTCAAAATGATTATAGCTCAAATCAATTGTAGCGACGTCAAATCAGGCACCATGCCATTCATGTGGTTGGAAGAGAGATTTATGTAATATAGTTGAGGAGATAAATTCCAAAACTCCCTAGGGACAATATCTGAAATTCCAGAATTAGAGATATGAAGCTGAGAGTAATTGTTTGAGTGAGAAGCCAGTTTGGGAAACGAGGGCCCAACCGGCAAGACCGCAAGTGTATGACATCGAGTTGAAAAGGAGGAATCCAATCTGAACTATTGATAGGGAGTTATCAAACAAGTCCAAATGTTTCAAGTTGTTGAGATTTGAGAGGTGGGTTTCGGAGATTGTACCTTGTAAAGAATTTGAAGAGACGTCCAAAAATTCAAGCATGAAAAGTTGCCCAATACTTTTGGGTAGTGGTCCAGTCAAGCTATTGTTCGAAAGATCCAAAAATCTCAATGAATATAATCCTTTTAAATCTGGTAAAGACCCACTCAATCGATTGCTCGAAATATACAGCTCTCTCAATGAAGATAATCGGGTTAAATCTGGTAAAGACCCATTCAATTGATTACCATCAAGATACAATTCCTTCAAAGATGAAAGTCTAGTAATGCTGTGAGGCAGTGAACCACCAAGATGATTCCAAGCCAAACGCAATGTTTGTAAACTAGTACAGTTCCCAATGGATTTTGGAATCCCACCTTCAAGTTGACTGGAAGTGATACGAAGATAGGCAAGGGAATTGAAGTTTCCGAAAGAATCAGGGATCAGACTTTGTAAATTGTTACGAGAAAGGTCTACATGAACAAGACTAGTATTGAAATTGAACAACCAACTGTATAGTAAAGAATTCAGAGAATTGAAAGAGAGATCAAGGACAGCAAGAGACAATGCAGAAGAATTTATCAATGGAAGTTGGGGTGAAATGATACCATGGAGATCAGAAAAACTCAAGTGCAATTCCGTTAGGAGAGGGAGCTTACTGGTTGCTTCCATCCAATCTATTGCATTGCTAAGATTAAGCCAGCTCAGATCAAGGTATCTTAATAAAGAAAGATGAGAAACCCACTCTAAACTTTTTACACTCACTTCAAAATTAGAGCTCAAATCAAGAGAACGCAATTCGGAAAGATTCCCAAACTGATTAGGAATCGTACCCACAAAACCATTATCTGAAAGATGGAGGTATTGTAAACTGCTAAAGGAACCAATGAATTCTGGGATGGGGATTCCTTCAAAATCATTGAAACTGAGGTCCAAATACTTCAAATGTTGCAATTCAAGCAATGAAGGACTAATCTTACCTCTCAAACGCTGATAATCATTTTCCCAGTCTGAGGGACAGTGAAGATGGAGCGCCATCACATGACCAGTGCGGTTGCTACATCGGACTCCTCTCCATTTGCAGCAGTCTTCAGTTGATGAGTTCCCCCAAGAAGAGAGAGCGCCATAATCATCAATGAGCCCTTCTTTAAACTGGTTCGAAACATGTTAGTATGAGCAACCCATGTTAGTATGAGCAAACCATCTTTGTATACTTGTTTAATTACGTGTTATATCTTTCCTCAATGATTCAACCCATGTTAGTATGAGCAAACCATCTTTGTTGATTCTCTCCCATTTTTGTCTCCTATTGGTGTCATTTTAAATCGTCCTATGAATACGTTAATTTTATTCTTTATTACCTTACCATACATCTGTGCCAATTCCTTGCATTCTTTTTCTCCATCTTCTCAATAATGCCTTTGATGACCCTATTAGAAGATTCTCATTTTGTGAATGTACTATTTTCAAGCCGTCCAACATTTTATACCATAAGTATGGCTTGTTTAATAGTTGTTTATAAATTTGCCTTCAAAATTTTATAGCTATACCCCATAACACTTAAAATTAAGCACCAATGATTGTAAGATGAGAATTTTAAGTTTATAAATTGAGGACTTCTTCAATGATTGTTTTAATTCAAGTGTTCTTTATTTTTTATTTTTGATAAGTAAAAGAAACGACAATGTGATATGAAGTCGTCTTTAGTGGTATATGAAGTTGTCTTCACTTAAAATTTGATTTCATTATATTTTAAGTGAACTTATTCATTTAAGTGATATTCAGATGATGTACTTAATTGGAGAATCACTTATTATATTAATTGAGCTACCAAATGTCTTAGTCCTTAAATAGGGTACCTTCCTAAGTTTTGTAGTGCGACTCTTTAGATTGATACCAAGATAGTATGTTCAACTTCCAATATCTCTCTTAATTTTATAAAATTGACATGATCTTGTTTCTTTAATGGTATGGTGTACTTAATATTGCATGAAAGTTATTTGACCATGCATAGAGGATTAGCCTTGGAGCAACAGTAAAGTTCTCCATTGTGACCTAGAGGTCACTGGTTCGAAATATGGAAACAACCTCTTTGCATGTGGAGGTAAGGCTATGTATATCTGACCCTCACTAGAGCCCGCAATTGCGGGACCTCGTGCACTGGTTTGCCCTAGTTGTACTATGCATAGTTTATAACATTTTTTAATGGTATCTTCAGAATCAGTGTACATTAATTTATGCAGAAGGAACTGTGGTGACATCATTGTGTTCCATTATGTAGGTTTTGCAACCGTGATGATTCAGTTTAGTTTAGGCATGAAATGACTTTAGATGCTAATGGGAGAAGACTCTTGGTAACATCTGGTTTGGTTAGAGCTCCCATATATCACGTAATTCTCCATTCTCTCTCTATCTCTCTCTCTCTCTGTGTATGTGTGTGTGTGTGTGTGTGTGTGTGTGTGTGTTTATATATTTGTATTGATACATTTCTCACACACGTGCAGTGTGTTTGATCCTTTTTCTTTTTCCTGGAAAGTTAACAAAACATGAAATGTGTTTGATGTGGTTTTATGTTGTTGTATCTAATATTGGTTTTTGCTTACTCATTGATCCTTACGATTCTTAGCCACGGGTTAGTTGTAAACTTACAGCTAATAATATATATCATACAAAGGGCCTTTGCCATGCATTCAAGATATGGAATGAGAACTCTTCCTTATAGTGCAGCTATTATGACGGTTGATTGGTGTAACGACCCTCACCCTAGCCAGACACAATATTGTTCGCTTTTAGCTCACCCAGACCAGAGACTTCCCAGGGGGTCACCCATCCTGGTACTACTCCAAGTTAAGCACGCTTAACTACAGAGTTCTGATGGGTTCACGGCCATCACGGCTTTAAAACGCGTTGTGTTATAGAAGGGTGTTGAATCTACATATAGCACTTGCCCCATCCACACCCAGACGATGTGGGATTGTGCACCTGTAGCTCACCCAGTGTGGTAGCCTACTGGTGCCCCCTGCACACGCTCACACACACCTGCCCACAAGGTCGCCACAATCACCCCCCCTTTGGGGCCCAACGTCCTCGTTGGCCACACTTCCGGCTGGGTCAGGCTCTGATACCATTTGTAACGACCCTCACCCTGGCCAGACACAATATTGTCCGCTTTTGGCTCACCCAGACCAGAGACTTCCCAGGGGGTCACCCATCCTGGTACTACTCCAAGTTAAGCACGCTTAACTGCAGAGTTCTGATGGGTTCACGGCCATCACGGCTTTAAAATGCGTTGTGTCATAGAAGGGTGTTGAATCTACATATAGCACTTGCCCCATCCACACCCAGACGATGTGGGATTGTGCACCTGTAGCTCACCCAGTGTGGTAGCTTACTGGTGCCCCCTGCACACGCTCACACACACCCGCCCACAAGGTCGCCACAATTGGCATCCAACCTTGCCCATTTTCTTGACTGGGTCAGCAAATCATTCAATTCGGGTCACATTCCATATTATGAAGGTTTCTGTCTAATTTTTCATTTAGTTTTGATTGGTTGGTGATCATCGGATGAAGTTGCCCCAAGTAATGATTCAATAGAGGTTTATGTTGTGTTTTCTATAGGCCAATTATGTTTTAGTCTTTTAGTCGATGAACATTGTGTTATAAAATAGTAATGTTTTGGCTAAAGTTGCCCATTTTATTGACTTAGTTATGATCTCATCGATATCACGAAGGTTTTTGCCTTCTAGCAATTCATTTATTTTTTGTTGGTTGGAGATTGTAGTTTGCTCCAAGCAATAAATCAATAGAAGATCTAATTACTTGTTTTCTTTAAGCCAGTTTGTCGTTTTTCCATTTAATTTTATATATATATATATATATATATATATATGTATATATATTGATTATTGTTTGACATAGTATTGTCTGCGTGCAATGCACGGGTAACGCACCCATGAGAGTTTTCAAATGGTACATTTGAAAGCAAATATTAGACAACAAACATTTGCAATATATTTATTTTGGATTGCCCTTCATGCCACAACCATTCCTCATACAAATGGTCCAACACCATATGGTTGTGCTTCAATCAACACTAACTAAATCTAGTACAAGTAATGCAGAGAATAGTTATACAATATATTCTTCAAGAAATAGAGAGGCCTAGGAGACAGCTGCAACACTAGATGGTATGCAAAACTCGAAGTCGTCCTGCAAGAACTTGAAGTGGCATACACCGAAAATGCAAAAAAAAAAAATAATTAAAAAAAGAAAAAAACATAACAATATAAACAACGTAAGCAATCTTAGTTTACAACTATAGGAATTAATTTTTGAACATCTAGCAAATGTAAAAAGAAATTCAAGGAGTGAAAGTGCTGTTAATTCAGAAACATTAAAAAATATATATATTTACCTGTTAGCTATGAAGTTGCCTCCACACTCGATCTGGCCATATTCGCCGCTATTGTCATATAGAAACAATTAGAGTTGTTATAAAGAGTGTTATTCAACAAGTATTGAAAATCTAACTAATACTAAAAAAATAAAAAAATAAAAATTGGAGTGGAAGTGTAAGAAATTAAAAAAGCCATATGAGATATGTACCTATTAGATTTGAGGCCGCCTCCTTAATTTGGCCATTTTCACTACTGTTGTCACATAGATTTGGTCTTTTATGTTGTTCAAGAACTTGAAAAAGACATGTTCCCATGAACGATTGAGCAGTAAAGTGCCAAAGACTCCACCAAATCCAACCCCAAAACCTAGCCCCATGCTGACATAAAATTCTCGGTTTATGAACCCATCCTCATTTCCTTGAATGATATCATCTTTATCGACAGAAGGTTCCAGAGCTGTTTCATCTCCTGGGCACTTATTTGGAAGTGGAAGCCCGCAAAGTTCATCATTTCCAAAATATGCAGAGGCATCAAAGCTCTGTAATTGAGTGCTTGATGGAATTTTTCCGGACAAGTTATTATTTGACAAATCCAAGACAGCAAGAAAATTTAAACGAGTGATGCCTGTAGGAATCTCACCAGAAAGCCTATTTCTAGACAAGTCAAGAGATTCTAGCATTTTCAACTTACCAATATTTTGAATGACATGTCCATTCAATTCATTTTTCGATAAGTTCAAATAATTCAATTCTGCAAGACTCGAGATTTCTTCAGGAATTTTTCCAACTAATCTATTGCCAGAAAGATCAATGCCTCCCATTAGTGCTAAAATATTTTTGTACTCACTCTCTTTCCCTTTCCATAGCACCAATGCATTATCTACATACACATTACCAAAACCATCATAACTACCTGTATAAGCATTGTAGTCATGAGCAATGTTTCCACTAGATTTATTCCGCCAAACCAAAGCAAAAAATTTATTGAAGCACGGCGGTATAATCCCAGATATATTGTTTTGGGAGAGGTCCAAGATTTGAATAGAGTTGAGATGACATATTTCTGGAGGTATATGTCCATGCAACTTATTCAATCGTAGACTAAGAATAATTAAACTTGTCAAGTTTGTCCCTATCCATGCTGGTATTTTTCCTGATAATTTATTTTCTCCCATATCAATGATCTCCAAATGACTACAGTTCTTCAATGACGAAGGCAATTCTCCAGTGAAATTGTTATTGCGTAAGTGCAATGTTTGGATTTGAGAGAGGAAACCCATAGAGCTAGGAATTTTTCCAGAGAAATTATTGTTAGCCAAATTAAGGATGAGTAAATTATCCATATGCAACCAGCAATCAGGAAGCTCCCCAGATAATCGATTATTTGAGAGATCAAGAAAGTAGAGACGCCCATTGGTTATGTTGCATAAGAAAGAAACTGACCCAGAAAACATATTTTTAGAGAGATTCAAAACTGTGACGTTTGGAGGAAACAGTGGAATTGGACATTCAAAACGATTATAGCTCAAATCTATTATAGGATAAAAAACTGTCTTTAATGACGTCAAATCAGGCACCATGCCATTCATGTGGTTGGAAGAGAGATTTATGTAATACCGTTTAGGAGAAAAATTCCAAAACTCCATAGGGACAATATCTGAAATTCCAGAATTAGAGATATCAAGACGATAGTAATTGTTTTGAGTTAGAAGCCAGTTTGGGAAACGAGGGCCCAACTGGCAAGACCGCAAGTATATAAGATCGAGTTGAAAAGGAGGATTCCAATCATAACTGAAGTCTAAAGATAGGAAGTTATCAGACAAGTACAATTCCTTCAAGTTGTTGAGATTTGAGAGGTGGGTTTCGGAGATTGTACCTTGTAAAGAATTTGAAGAGACGTCCAATTTTTCAAGCATGAAAAGTTGCCCGGTACTTTTGGGTAATGGTCCAGTCAAGCTATTGGAAGAAAGATCCAACTCTCTCAATGAAGACAATCCTTTTAAATCTGGTAAAGACCCATTCAATTGATTACCATACAGAACCAATTCCTGCAAAGATGAAAGTCTTGTGATACTGTGAGGCAGTGAACCACCAAGTTGATTCCAAGCCAAATTCAATATTTGTAAACTAGTACAGTTCCCAATGGATTTTGGAATCCCACCTTCAAGTTGATTGAGGGTGAGATCAAGATAGGCAAGGGAATTCAAGTTTCCGAAAGAATCAGGGATCAGACCTTGTAAATTGTTATCAGAAAGGTCTACATGAACGAGAGTAGTATTGAAATTGAACAACCAGCTGTATATTGAAGAATTGAAAGAATTGGCGGATAGATCAAGGACAGCAAGAGACAATGAAGAAGAATTTATCAAAGGAAGTTGGGGTGAAATGAGATGACAAACACTCAAGTGCAATTCCGTTAGGAGAGGGAGCTTATTGGTTGCTTCCATCCAATCTATTGCATTGCTAAGATTAACCTGGGTCAGATCAAGGTATCTTAAAAAAGAAAGGTGAGAAACCCACTCTAAACTTTTTACACTCACTCCAAAATTATTGCCCAAATCAAGAGAACGCAATTCGGAAAGATTCCCAAACTGATTAGGAATCGTACCGACAAAATAATTATCGGAAAGATCGAGGTATTGTAATCTGCTGAAGGAACCAATGAATTCTGGGATGGGGTTCTCTGTAAAATCATTGTAACTGAGGTCCAAATACTTCAAATGCTGCAATTCAAGCAAAGAACGACTAATCTTACCTCTCAAAGAATGATAAGCCACAACCAAGGAATTCTGGGATGGCGAGTAGGCATGAAGATCGAGCACGATCACGTAACCAGTAATGTTGCTACATCGGACTCCTCTCCATGTGCAGCAGTCTTTCTTCTCATCAGTTGAGTTCCCCCAAGAAGAGAGAACGCCATAATCATCAATGACCCCTTCTTTAAACTGAAGAAGAGCTTGTCTCTCCCTCTCTATGCACCTCACTACTTTACCAACACTTGAATTACTGAATAATCCAAGACCTGGTTTCAATTTCAACCACAATATTACTAAAACAACCAACACTTTGAAATGTTTAAACAACATTTCTCCGCTCATCATTTTCAGAATCAGTGAATTAGTGAAACACCAAAACTCTTGGTTTTCTTTATCATCTCTGGCCATGTGATGACCCCTATTTATACTACAACTTACTGAAACCTTTTTCTTTTTTTCTTTTTTTTTTTTTCATTTTTCAATAGGTTGTCCAAAAGACTAAATTTCTTGCTTGGAAAAGTCAACAATACATTCATTACGGTGGATCCAATGAAAGACACCATTCCTGCTATGTCTAATCAGAGGACAAAGATGTTTGGACTAACTGAAGGATCCATTACATTGGACTAACGGAAGGATCCACCCATGCAACGTTAAATTCTTAACTTGTAATTAATTGTGTCCTAAAATTAATGTAATAAAAAATTGTTGAAATTTTGTGTGAGCCTTTGAAAGGAAATAACAATAACATGGGTGATAAACTACTTGCAAAAGGAATGCAAATAAACAAGGAAAATAGAATAATGAATAAAAGAAAGTTAGAATGATGGAAAGTGAGATAAATTAAATAAACATGATTAATGTAAGAATTCAAAAATGATATTACGCTTATTTATAACATTCTAAAATAACAAATTTTTAAAACTTTTTTTTTTTTTTTTTTGGGTTTATTTATGTATTTTCTCATGCGAAATTTTTTTAATTAGTGAAGAAAAAGGTTGGTTTGTTTATCTTCTCTAACTAGTCATGTGATCACCTTTATTTATAAGACTATCTTACTTAAACCTTTTCTTTTATTTTCTTTTTTCATATCATTTTTTTTTTCATTTGGAATTCCAATACCATGTCCAAAAGAAAATTTGGAAAAGTAAAAAAATAAGAAATTTTAATCACAATATATAAAAAGATGCTGGTAAAGGTTGCTATCTTACATTTATTATGTTGGATCAATTGAAAGAACGTGCTGAAATGTTGAATCCCAAAATTTTAATTCATCAGTTACATCAATGCGAACTCTATTCATGGAAATTCCATTGAAATATCATTATTACTTACTATTAGTCTTTATCGTGTCCGAAAAGAGCCATTCAATTGATTGTGACAAGAGCAAAATAGAGACTAGGGAAAGAATTCATGTAATACGGAAAGACTTTGTCTCTTATTCCTATTCAACTAAAGTTTATTTTTTAGTATTACACTTAACTAAAATAAACTCTTTTTGATAAGTTCATCTTTATCCAAATATTAAGTATCCTCTTTTACTTCAATCACGTTCAGCTAACTAGTTCTTTATAACACTTTTACTTGATACACTTTTACTTGATTCAAAACTCTTATCTCTACATGATAATTTCTTAATTATCTCCTTTTAACAATTCTAATTACTTCTTCATAATCTAAAATTACGTACAGTTTAAGCACATTACAATTACCTTATCATATCATTAGTCACAAAATAGCCTCACATGACCAGCCGATTACTAGCCACGCCACTGCCATGTAATTTTGCCAAAAAAAAGTTGTTAACTTATATGTGTATTATATCTTTTTCAGTATATATCTAATAAGGTCCCTTCCCATATCAATGAAAGTGAGACAGTTTAGTTATATATATGTTAAAAAGATTCATTTAAATTTTATATTCTAATTAATTAGATTGGAAACGACCGTCACTACACAAATAATAAGAAATGTGGCACAATTTTATTATAGCATTAACTAAAAATAAATAAAATAATATCATCCAAAAATGAAATGGGCTCACTTAATTTTCATATTTTTTTTATAATTTTATTGACAATCAATTATGACGTGTGAGTGTAGGTCTCACTAAGTATTGTCTTTTTTTCTTTAAAGTAAATAGTAATAGTTGAAAGGTATATTTGCTTGCTTTGCTTATCTTTATTCATTTTTTTTTTTTTTTTAGTTTCCATTCATTTTATTTCTCCGTCAAAAAAAATAAAAAAATAAAAAATAAAAATAAAAACAAAAACAAACTATTGTTATTAGAACTTTCCAAAGCCATAAATTTAGGAATTGATGCACCACAATGCTAACATGCTTCTCATTGGCTCTATCCAATCACATGCCTTAATTAATCATCCAAAAATTTGTTAATATATTTTAACAATTTTACCACAATGGAAAGGAAATCAAACCAGGAGTCGTGTCAGCTATGGTCCCATACATGATACATATATCTCTTCTTTCGTCAAATAGAAAGGTCCACATCAAAGTCTTCTATGGCTACAACACAACATTGTTTCTTCTTATCCAAACATACTTTCTCTAACACATACTTTCTTTGTGAAAATTTCATCAAGGTAGACCCACTTTCTTTTTGAAGATAGACTTTTATAGTCTTTGGGCATATTCGAAGCCAAAAAGACCGATGAATATGAGTTGTATTTTAAAAATTATTGAACAGCTAACAATTTTAGAATGAACTACTAACATATGTTATCTATGTCAATTCTTTCCAATTTAATTTATTATATCTCGTTGTTTTCCTTTCTTTTCTTTTCTTCTCTTTTCTTTTGATTAAATGCAAATGGTTGATTTCCATTCTTAATTTCTATTATTTAGTTATTTATGTTGTGAAAATTCTATGTGAATTATGTTGTTTCAAATTACATTTTTTTTTTTTTTTTCTAATTATAAATGTTGAGAAACTCATCTTTATACATGTTCTCTGTTAATTGTAAATTCATATTTTTTGTTATTATTGTGACCTTGTCAACATAAATGATTTAATATATATGTAAATTGTTGAAATATAAATTAAAGGTCATGTATTATGTTCTTAGTTTCTTATAACAGATTTAAGATTTAAGATTCTAATTTATGCGCAAGATTGGTTATATAATTTCACAATTGCATATGTTGCGACAATTGAAGGGGAATGTAACTAGAAGTCAAGGTGCAACTTAAACTCATTTACGACCTCATATATTATATGTCAGTTTCTTTTGAGACATGCATTCTTCATAGAAATTTTATGCAAGTATCATTCAAATGAAAGAAAGTGTCTACCGTATGATAGGGAATTAAAAAAGTATTAATAGTTAAATCAGAAAAAGTTAAAAATTTTTAAATCTATAACGTATAAGAGGGGATTAGAATTACGTGCTCGCAAGCCTACTTGATTTGATCTGTTAAAGCATTTGTGAAAAAATGAGGAGTTTTTTTAATTTGTCACCAGTTGCATGCCAATTGACCATTGACTGATGATAACCATTGCGATTGCTATCAGACCGGGAGGCATGATGACTACCATATAATTACTTTATTTATTTTATTGCATTTTAAAAATTAAAATTATAGGCCAATTGATTTTGAGTCATGATGTACATACAATTTAGATAATTAGGCCAACAGTATAAATTGACTACTATATAGTTAATTAATTTATTTTATATAATATTCATAATATGACTTCATCTTTTTTTTTTAATTTTAAATTTAATTTTTTATTTTTGTCTGTCTTCATTTTATTAATTGAATTGATTGAAAACACTAAAACATTATCATGAAATATATAATTAGCTTTACCAATCATATGTTTTAATTAAATATCCAACAATATGTTAATATAATTTCACACTATGTTTAATATATGCTTCAATTAAACATCTACTCGAATGAAAAATGAAACATACTAACAAAAAAAATTAATAAAATATAAAAAATCAAATTTCCAGGTCATTTATGATCTAATTAATCTCAAACACATTAACTCATTTATAATCTCGTATTCACTCCTCAAGATCTTCTATAGCTGTAATGCAACTCAGTTTCTTCGTTAGTTACATCAAGGCCAACTACCCTCGCTTCATGGATTTTCATTCATCAATTACTACTACGTACTATTAGTCTTTTAACGTATCAGAGGGGATTAGACAAGTTGTCTTACATGTCATAAAATATAAAGAGATGGTAATTAATAAAACACATGGACCCATCAGTTTTCAAAGTTTACAATTAATTGTTAGCACATATGAAAACATTTATAAGATACCATATAGTTACATACATCTTTAGACACGTGATATAGATTCAACTCCATATTTATAGACTGTATATATATATACTACTATCAAAAGTACAAAAAAAAATTATTATATTAATGGTGCGCGTAATGGTGTGCTAATTGTGGGAGAAAAAAAAAAGGTGCTTCAATAAATTATTTTTTAATAATAGATTAGATTAATTTTAATTTAATATTCTAATCAATTAGATTGGATACGACGGTCACTACAAAAATAATGAGAAATATGGCACAATTTGATTATAGCATTAACTAAAAATAAATAAAATAATATCATTCAAAAATGAAATGAGCTCACCAAATTTTCAATTTTTTTTTTTTTTTTTTTTTTTATAATTTTATTGACAATCAATTATGATGTGTGAGTGCATGTCTTACTACGTTTTGTCTTTTTTTCTTTAAAATAGTAATAGTTAAAAAAAAAAAAAAAACAGATTGTTATTACAACTTTCCAAAACCATAAATTTAGGAATTGATGCACCGCAATGCTAGCATGCTTCTCATTGGCTCTATCCAATCACATGCCTTAATTAATCATCCAAAATATGTTAATATATTTTAACAATTTTACCACAATGGAATGGAAATCAAATCAAGAGTCGTGTCAGCTATGGTCCCATACATGATACATGTATCTCTTCTTTCTTCAAAAAGAAAGGTCCACGTCAAAGTCTTCTATGGCTATGGCTATGGCCATTATACTTTCTTTGTGGAAATTTAGAAGTCTATGGCCATTATGCTTCTTTAACACTTACTTTCTATGTGGAAATTTCATCAAGGTAGACCCACTTTCTTTTTGAAGATAGACTTTATGGTCTTTGGACATATATGAAGCCGAAAAGACCACTAATGAATATGAGTTGCATTTTAAAAATTATTGGACGGCTAACAATTTTAGAATGAACAACTAACATATGTTATCTATGCCAATTCTTTCCAATTTAATTTATTATATCTTGTTGTTTTCCTTTCTTTTCTTTTCTTCTCTTTTCTTTTGATTAAATGCAAATGGTTGATTTCCATTCTTGATTTCTATTATTTAGTTATTTATGTTGTGAAAATTCTATGTGAATTATATTGTTTCTAATTATTATTTTTTTTTAATTTTTTTTTCCTAATTATAAATGTTGAGAAACTCATCTTTATACATGTTCTCTATTCATTGTAAATTCATATTTTTTTTTTTATTATTGTGACCTTGTCAACATAAATGTTTTAATATATGTGTAAATCGTTGAAATATAAATTAAAGGTCATGTATTATGTTCTTAGTTTCTTATAACGGATTTAAGATTCTAATTTATGTGTGAGATTGTTTATATAACTTCATCTCATCTTTAAATCACAAGTCAAGCCAATGTCAAAGTTTCTTTTGAGACATGCATTCTTCATAGAAATTTCATACAAGCATCATTCAAATGAAAGAAGTCTTTAACTTATAATAGGGAATTAAAAAAACTATTAATAGTGCAGTATTAATAGTGCCTTGGATGTCACAATTGATGATTGAATTAGAAAAAGTTAAAAAACCATAAATCTATAACGTATAAGAGGGGACTAGAATTAGAATTGATGCTGGCAAGCTTACTTGATTGGATTTTCTAAAGCATTTGTGAAAAAATGAGGAGTTTTTTAATTGGTCACCAGTTTCAAGCCAATTGACCATTGACTGATAATAGCCATTAATATCCGGTGGGGAGACATGTAAATCGAGCACAATCACATGACCAATAATTTTAATTAATTGTGTCTTAAAAATCAAAATTATAGACCAATTGATTTTGAGTCATAATACACAATTTAGCGAATTATGTCAACAATATAAATGGACCACCTTATGATTACTAAATATATTTTATTTCTTGTCATCTTTTTCTTTCTTGTTTTCTTTTTCCATTCCATTTTTATTTATTTTTTTTTTTTTTCCTTTTCCTCTGCTCCTACATTTTTGTGAATTCAAATTGAAATTTAATTATACAGACAAGCCTTAATCATCTGATCATGTGCCACTATGCCAAAATGAATGGAAAATGAAACCAGAAAAGTCATGGCACACCTCATCTATGGCCTAGTTTGTTGTAGTGTCAAACTCGATCATTTATAGCTTCATACATCTCATTTTTCCGGAAAAGGAAATGACATAAATCACTAGTCAAGGTCTTCTATGGCTATAATGCAATTCTGTGTCTTAATCACTTATATTAAGGCCAACTATTTTCTTCATAGAAATTTCATTCATCAGTCTTTAACGTACAAGAGGGGACTAGAAAAGTTGTCTTGAATGTAACAACAGAATTATTTTACATAGATTATATCATGATATTAGCTCCATCAAGGAAGCACTGAAACATCAGTAGGCATGAAACAATTTTATTTTATTTTATTATTTTATTATTTTATTTTCTTTTTTGGATAGGTAAATAATATATACCCACCAATTATTATTTCATTAGCGACTCAAACGTACCCTCAACCTTCCATGTGAAGGAAGAAGTGCTACCACTTGGGCTAGGCATTGCTGATATCATAATTTTTTAATGTGTGTATATATCCCTCCCCTACATTGTCAGTATTTGATACCGTATATGTTGCCTTGCATTATCTACAAGAACACATGGATGAGAAGACACTACAAGAACGACTCATCTTGCTCAGATTTCTACTATATCAAATTAAACATGGATAAAGGGTTGTATGTGTGTAGTTGTGGCTCAAATTTTGTGGTCCGAAACTTTGTGTTGGTGACATAAGCGGAAGCGATAGATTGTTCATAAAGGATGTACACCTAATAAATATTGGGCTCTTTCCGGGTCAAAAACGGATTTGTCAAAATCACCCGATAAAATCTTATCAACCCGCCCGTTTGACCTTTACACTGTTCAAACGGGTTCCAAAATCTTCAGCTAACTGTTTTGCATCAGTGGGTTCGACGATCAATTTGAATCCGAAAAATAGGATTTATGTGGGACCCAAAAAACTAGCTTCAAAGCCTCCTCATCTGGCCATGCATGTTGTTATTGTTGGGAGAATTTTGGACATGGCTGTTATGACGTGAACACGGCAAAGACATGTTTTGAACACTTTCAGGACACGACGTTGTGATTTTGCAATTATTTTTTTTAGAAGAAAGAAATTCAATGCAATTTAAAATATATTATGCACTAATAACATAAACAATATAATAATTTAAAATAACAAAAATAACATACATTTAATTTTAAACTCCAAATTAGTGTTTTCATTCGTGATAATGTGGGTAAAATGTATAAAAATGATTGTTTTCCTATATATAATAAAATATTATATTATTAATTTTTGACATATCCATGTTGTATTCGTGTCTTATTTTTTCGAGATTTGTCGTATCGCCGTGTTCGTATCGTATCGTATCCATATCTCGAGTCCGTATCCATGCTTGCTAATTTACTAGAGTTGTACTACATATTTTTCCTTTTTCTTCATTACAGATTCCAATTGCTCGTCCAAAAGGGGAGAAAAATATGAAGTTAATCACAAGAGTACGATGTAGTCAAAGATGTTGTACGTGACTGGCCAACCGAAATACCCATTGACACTCACTGGGGAATGTTAAATTATAGCTCAATTGCGTGCGAGTAATTGTAGAAAATATAACTAATTAAGCCAATAATATAAATCGACTACAATATGATTTCTTAATGTTATTTTATATAGTGTTTCAAAGATTTCATTTTACTCATCCAAAGTGCCACGTTAAAAAATAACAAATAATAATAAATAAAGAATTAAACAAATATATACGTCCTCTGCTTGTTAACCAATCTTGGCTGGTCAAATTCACGTTGATTAATTTAAACCGGTTGCTAATGTTGTTTATATTGTTCTTTTCTTTTGCATTTTTGGTGGAAGCCCTTCAGCTAAGACATGTTTGTCTATAAACCTCCTCTCTAATCGTATGTACCACAAAAAGAGTAACTGATTCATGACTATTTTTTCAGTCTTTGTTACTCACCTTTCTTGCCTCATAACTCTTCTCAACACATTGACACAATCATGTTCTAGGACAAAGATTTCATAATTTCTTTGTCCAGTGTGGTTTTCAAGAACACCCGAGATGTCAATATTGGTGGCTCTGTTTCTGCTTCTTGGGGTTGTTCCATTAGCTTTTGCTGGGCATGACTATGGCCAAGCTCTTAGCAAGAGCATTCTCTTCTTTGAAGCTCGTAGATCTGGTTACCTTCCCATTATCCAGAGAGTCCAATGGAGAGGTCATTTTGGTCTCAAAGATGGCAATACTAGCGAGGTATGTTCTTATTTGCTCTAATACTTCAATTTTTCCATTTGTGACCAAAATGATTCTTGGGTTTTTTTGTAGTTTGGTTTTGAATTCAAATCAAAATAATTCTTGGGTTTGATTTGGTAGTTGAAATACCACCTAAATGAGATATTTCATTACAATAATAAAACGGTTTTTTTTCCTTTTCCAAATACATACATAGATATATATATATACACACACACAGATCCCTGACAAGTGTATATTCATGGATTCTATTGTTGCTTCTATACTTCGTACAAAAATACAAAAATAAAAGAAATATCTGCAAAGACTAAATTATAAATTAAATAGTGATAAGCAGGGTCGAACACACATCCAAGATTTGAACTCAAAATTAAAACCAAAATTGAAGGAAGAACACTTTAAAAACAATTTAATGATTTTTTTTACTAATGAACTAAAAATAAAATAAATAAATAAGACGAAATAAATTCTGATCAAATAATATCTCAAGATAAATTTGTATTTTTTTTTTTTATGTAAATTTTCCTATTGTAAGCAAATCACTTCACCAGTCGAATTACAACTTGGAAAGATGGTATTTCTTTAGCAATCTTGTTTTGCTGTTCTTTGAAGTTGTTCCGTTGCATGAAACTAACCGTAAATAAGGTAGTCAAACAAAGGCTTTAGAAGAATCAAATCTTACCTATTATTGGACTTACTGCTCTTGCTAGACCATCTGAGAGGAAAAATGGGATAAGGAATTGAGGCAAGGAGCTAGGAGTGAACCCCGATCGAAGGCAGAGAGGGGTTGTTGGCTTGGGTCAAGCAAAGCCCAAAGAGTGGACCCTTAGTTCTAGTCTTTTCAGACTGTTAAAGCAATCATTCTTATCAATAAGGAATGAGTAAGACACTGACTCTTTTTGAAGGAAAATAATAGCGTAAAATAACAATTGCTTGAGAATATATTTTACTTAATCTGATATATCTTTAGTAAATAGAAATAGACATTTTCCGAATTACCATTAATTGACAAACATGTAGAATCCTCTTTCTAATTTTTTTTAATCAAAATAAAAACACAGAATAGAATAGTAGAGTAATGCTCTCAAACGAAAATTTCATAAAAGAATTAAACTAAATTTAATTATATTTCAGCCATGGTGGCTTCATCACTCTCTTGAGAAGGGGTGTTTAAGCTAGCCTAATAAGAAAACAAAATAAAGAAATAAAAATAATCTTTATAACAAAAATTATGAGAAAAAAATTGAAGAAATTTTTTTTCTACCTTTTATTATTTTCTCTCACTAACCATGTACATTAACCTCCTTTACATATGTCCCTATTTATAGAATTTGAATGGAACGATTGGGAGGAAAAAATTCTAATTAAATCTTCCAAAAATCTTACTACTTTCCAATTTGGTCTGATCTTTGACTTGATGTGCTTTCCAATTTGATTGGATGTTGGCTAATTTGATGGAAAGTCAAATTTGAATTTGATTGATCGTATAGTCTCATAAACTTGCTATTTTTGTCTCTTTTCTTCTTATTCTGAAATCAGCCCCAACAAAACATGAAAAGCAAGGATAAGAACGTTTATATAATAAAAAATATTAATTAATTATTTATTATTAAGTATAAAATAACAAGTTTTGTGCATTTATCAAATTACCCCCAAACAAGTTTTTGCTAGTCCTCTAGCAATTAAAGGCAAAAAGTGACAAAAATAAAAGAAATACTTGCAAAGACTAAATTACTAAATTAAAAATTAAATAGTGATAAGCAGGGTCGAACACACATCCAAGATTTGAACTCAAAATTAAAACCAAAATTGAAGGAAGAACACTTTTAAAACAATTTTAATGATTTTTTTTACTAATGAACTAAAAATAAAATAAATAAATAAGACGAAATAAATTCTGATCAAATAATAAGAAAAATCTCAAGGAAAGAATCCATCATCATAGCTTACTATAAATAAATTTGTATATTTCTCTTTTTGTAAATTTTCCTATTGTAAGCAAATCACTTTACCAATCCAATTACAACTTGGAAAGATAAAGGAAAATAATAGCGTGAAATAACAATTGCTTGAGAACATAATTTACTTAATCTAATATATCTTTGATAAATAGAAATAGACATTCTCTGAATTACCATTAATTGGCAAACACGAAGAATCCTCTTTCTAATTTTTTTTTTTAATCAAAATAAGAACAAATAGAAGAGTAAAATAGTAATGCGCTCAAAAGAAAATTTCATAAGCCTTTAAGCTAGCATAATAAGAAAACAAAATAAAAAAATAAAAATAATCTTCATAACAAAAATTATAAGAAATAAATTGAAAACAATAATTCTCTAACTTTTATTATTTTCTCTCACTAACCATCTACATTAACCTCCTCTACATATGTCCCTATTTATAGAGTTTGAATGGAACGATTGAGCGAGAAAATTCTAATTATAGAAGTGAAATAAATAAAATCTTCCTAAAATCTTGCTACTTTCCAATTTGGTTTGATCTTTGATTTGATGTGCTTTCCAATTTGATCTGATCTTTTCTGATTTGATGGAAAGTCAAATTTGAATTTGACGGATCGTATAATCTCATAAACTTGCTATTTTTGTCTCTTTTCTTCTTATTTTGAAATCAGTCCCTACAAAAATTTGTTTGCTCGTATAATCTCATAAACTTGCTATTTTTGTCTCTCTTCTTCTTATTCTGAAATTAGTCCCTCCAAAACATGAAAAGCAAGGATAAGAACATTTATCTAATAAAAAATATTAATTAATCATTTATTATTAAGTATAAAATAACAAGTTTTGTATACTTATCAATCCCTATTGAATGTATAGATTGGAGAGAGTTTGTTTGGCCTTGGTATAATATTTATTGGTTTCATGAGTTCTAGAATTAGACTACAGAAAACCAAGAGGGGGTGGTAGGAAATATATTTCGTTTGAAATGATTAGCTATTATTCATTCAAATAATAGTTGTAGGTTTCTAAAACGTTAAATGTTTTACTTCAGGCTGTACGTAGAGACATATGATACTTGGAGGAGGATAACAAGGATGATCCTTCCAGTCTCCTTTTTTTTATTTTATTTATTTATTTAAGATTTAATACAAATCCTTAGGATCTGAGACATTAAAAATTTATTATTATTATCATTGTTATTATTATTTGTTGTGGATTGGGTTTATTTGGTTAGTAAAATGGGTTTATGAATGGATTCACCTTGATTATAAAAATTTAATTTAATTTTTTAAAAAATTAAATCATTTAAATACATTGTTATCATCTTTAAAAATAAGTGTAATTTTTTGCAACATTTATATTTGTTGTAATATTTTTTTAATAAATGGCAACATATACAATTGCTGCCATGCTTATCGCGACACAGGTTATGACAGAAAATACAAATGGCATCATAAATGCTTCCTAGTAGTTATGGCTGCATATATATATATATATATATATATATATATTTTTCCTTTTAACAACAAATAAAATTGCTGGTAGAGACAATAATTGTTGTAGTGTAGCCCTACCTAATAGCTTAGGCTTTTGGGTTGAATCCCGAAGCACCCACCCGTTATAGTAAGTCACTCTAAGGTTTGACTCCTCTTCGGTGCAAACAGAGAGGGGGTACCAAACCAGGGAAAAAAAAACAGTAGGGAGGATACACTTAAGAAGATGGGTAATAAGAAAATGGTGGGACGTGGCAACATACAAGTTTGGAAAGTTTAAGGACACAAGTCCCTTTAAATCTTATCAACATGAGCTATTACACTAGTTTCAGATGAAATTACGAAAGATGTACAAGACATCCAATGGTGTATGTTTGTGGATGACATTGTGTTGGTCGATACGTCTAAGGAAGATCTGAGTATCAAATTAGAAACTTGGTCAAATGTATCAGAAACAAAAGGTCTAAAACATAACATATGGAATGTAGAAACTTGGCGAAATGTATTATAAACAAAAAGGTCTAAATTAGTAAGTCTAAAACATAATACATGGAATGTACCCTTTATACGGAAAGTAATAATATAGCGTTCGCAATTCAAGATCTACTGAACACTAAAAATAATCATTTTCAATTCTTGGGATCAGTAATACAACAAAATGGGGAAATAGAGGATGATATTAATAGGTTGGACGAAATAAAGAAAAATTGAGAGCATCTTCAACTATTGTGTGTGTGTATATATATATATATATATATTTTTGTAAATCTGATGTGTCATGATAAATTTACTTAAAAAATTTGGATTATTTAATTTTAGCTCCAACGGTTGTTTTATATTTTTTTGTAAAAATATATCTCCCAATGAGAATCAACCATGTGTCATGTCAGGACCCCACATAACTTTTACAAACCTACCTAATATATGGTTGATTCTTTAATAGAACGAGAAAGAAATATGAGAAAGGAAACGTGTTGATCTGGCAGTGTAAAAAGGTTGTGTATTTTACACAATCCTTTTACACATTGGTGATATGGCAATGTATTTTAACAGACTGCTGGAGACGGAAAAATTTTACACATCATAGGTGACAGTGTATATTTTATACAAAAAAAATTATTTTAACAGATTGCTGGAGATGCTCTGAGTGGTATTTTATGTGATGAAAAAATACCAAACAAGTTGAAAGAAATTTTTTATAGGTTGGTCATTAGACCAGTTGTATTAATTGGGGTGGAATGTTAGGTGTTAAAAAAGAAGACGACGACTTATTCACAAGACTTAAATGAGGATGTTGAGGTGGATGATAATTGATAGGAGTGACTAGAAGATATAGAGTTGCTAATCAAAATGTGATGGGAACTCTAGGAATAGAGCCTATTAGTGACAAAATAAGAAACAATAGACAAATAGAACGTAGACCCATTGATGCGTCCGTTGAAAAAGGAAAAGTGGTTTGCATGGACGGTAAGAGAAAACGAGGGTGGCCAAAACTAACATGGAATAAAGTAATTAAAAATAATTTTAAACATGAGGAAACATGATGTTTAAAAGAATAGAATGGAGAAAAAAAAATCCATGTGGCCGACCCTATTCATTTGGAAAAAGAAGGCAAGATCAACATTTGTTTTGATGGTGTTAGTTCTCTGACTTGAGAGTTGAGTTGTTTATGCTTTTATATTCATATTTTTGCGAGATTTGGGGATTTCCTGATCTGTGGTTCTTAGTAATGTAAATGTGTATGACCAGAATATAATATAAATCTGAAACTGGTTTTCTCATTCTTCTTTAATTGAATAAGATACTTTTACCTTCTTTTTTGTGTGTGTGTGTGTTTTTTTTTTTTTTTTTTTTGCAGTTTATACTAGTGTAAAGCTAACAAGTTTGAGGATTGTGGAAGAACAATGTCAAAGGATAGATCTGCCACCAATTTCCCTTCCAAGCTGGGTAATAATTCTTCTTTTTTAGTCGCTGTCCTATAAAGATGAAGAGCAACAATATTATATTGATTTGTGGATTTGGCGGAGAACGTTAAGTGTCAAAACAGATTCTTGACAGACTCTGGAAAGCTTGGTAGTCGTTCATATGTTTATTTTATTTTATTTTATTTATTTTTAAAACGTATATCAGCCTCACAACACACGCACCATTCAAATTAGGAGTACAACTCAAAAGCGAGACCTCAGGACTTACCTCCTAAATCTCTGCCAACGCCGGTATACCTTCGGAGACCACGATTCATATGCTCATTTTACTTTGTCATGCAATCAGCATCTTTATCATAATACAAGTCTATATATATATATATACATCTAGAAATATAGATAAAGAATATAAAGTGAAAAAAGTAACGTTGCGTTTGAGAGAATTGTGCCTTAAAAATGAAATTGAAAGAAATTTAGTTTAAAGCTGATTCGGTTTACAGGGATTTATGATCCTAGGAGAATAAAGTCCCATGCTTTCATGGGTCATACTTGTTGCCAAAATTTTGTGCTTTCACACATTAGTTATGCTGTTTTATTGATCTTGGGATGAGAATGACTACCTCAGGACCTGTTTACTAATATGAATAATTCTTAATTTTTATTGTTAATTTTTCAAATTAAAAATTAAAAATTAAAATTATATTTAATAAAATACTTTTATTTTTTTACTTTAAAAAAATACTTCTTAATTTTTTTGAATTTTTTGAAGATTGAGAAAATGAGAAATCCTCACTTTCTCTTCACAGAAATTATTTTCCCTACTGTAACACTGTTTGTAAATAAATAAAAAAATTCTAACCATCTCTCAGCGCCATCTCCTCCCCCATCTTCTCCACCCACCATGGTCATCGCCACTGCCGCCTCCTGCCACCATAGCCCCTGCCACAACCATCTCTCTCCTCTTTCATACACATCAAAACCCATCAACAATATACCCAAATCATCTTCAACCAGTCACAAAAAAAAAATTAAATAGATAAAAATAAAAATAACAATATCTTCCACCACAACCGTCGCTAATCAGAAAACCCAGAACCTAGTAGATCGATACCGACGGCGTGGAGCCCTTTGAGGCCCAGAGACTTGACAATTTTGCGAAAAGAATAAGAATTACAACCCAACCCATGTACAATGAGTATGTTATTGGATTTTGATGGGCCCATCTTGAATGGCGAAGACTTCAATTGGGGGTGATTTGGGGTGGTTTGGACCTTGATGGCTCGACCGGTGGAGTAGTGGTGGCGGAGAGTGGTGGGGAGAGTGAGGAACCAGGTTTTGGGGTATGAAGAGGAGGGTGATAAGAGAGATTGAGAGAGTGAAGAAGAACCAGAAAGTGAAGGGGTTTGGTGTGGTGGTGGGTGGGGTTAGTGGTGAGGTGGGTTTGTGGATGAGTGGGGTTGAGTCGGTGTTTGGTTGGGGTGTTGGGTCTGGTTCTACTTCTCTCTGGAAAAATTTTTGTTATGCAGAGTGATGATATATATATAGAACATGATTCTTCATCTATATACATAATTACATATACAGTGAACTCTCTCATTCTAGAAGGCAGATCTGAAATTTTGTTATCTTCATCTCAATCTCTTGGTGGCTGGTGGCTGTCTCTTCCCGGCGTCAATTGCAGGATATATATATATATATATACACAGAGAGTATATGACATTGATTGTCAAATAAAAAACAAAATTAAAATTAAAATTATTAAACTTGCTTTTTAATTTTTAGCTTTAAAAATATTAAAAGTATAAAAAATAGTAAATATAATTCTACTTTATATTTCAACTTAGAAATAAAAATCATAATTTTACTTTTATATTTCAACTTAGAAATAAAAATCATAATTTTATTTTTATAAAAAGCAAAAATAAAAAAAATGAACCATTGCTCATTTCTTAAACTATTATGCTCTTTAAAAAAGCTTATTATAAATGATGTAGTAATTTCGTCTAGAAAAGCTTATTATTCTGCTTTTCCTATCACTTGACGATAATAATGTGTGATGGATGTATAATTTAAATATCCATAATTAAGGGAAGATTACTAAATTAACGTACTATTGAGATAGGCTCTGCAGATTACGATAAGGATTACAGAAACATCGGCTAATCAATCGTATCCTGTGGTATTGGAAATAATATTCTATATTGGGTTTTTTATTGCGTTTGCTGTCAAATCACCGATTATACCCCTACATACATGGTTACCAGATACCCATGGAGAAGAGATAGGTTTTACAGATTACGATAAGGATTAAAGATTGTGATAAGGATTAAAGATTACGATAAAGATTAAGTTTACAGATTACAATAAGGTAATTCTACGTGATATCTTAAGCCCTATAAAAAAGGCGGGGGAATCAACGTTTGGAGGTACGCAATAAACCCTAACTCAATTTCTCGATTTCTCCAGGGAGATTATCATTCACACTGACTTGTTCGTCGGAGCCTACTCCACCGGTAACACACCGATGTTCGTAGGATCACTTTTTCTTCTCTTTATTCAGGAAGTCAGATTAGATCCAGGTTGCGCAGAATCCATCATCAACAGTTGGCGCCGTCTGTGGGAACGATTTTAGCTCTCTAAATAAAGTATGGTTCGATTGCGATCTGGTCTGGTTGCTGGCGAATACGAAGCGTTGCAAACTTCTGATCAAGGGGACTCGTCAAGGCAACCCCCCGCCGTCCCAAACGATCAGGAATGCGTCACAACGTTGGAACAACAGGTTTAAACCCTAAATAAGGGAATGAACCAATTAGTCCAAAAAAATTCAATGATTCTACGACGCTTAGCCGCCCTTAATGAGGTGGAGAATAATGAAGTACCCAAGAATGACTCCTGTAGGATT